CTCCCACGGGCTGGAATCAACAGGTTCTAGGATTCCCTGTTGGATTAGTTTGTCTAATTCAGTGTCAATCTTACTTTTTAAAGCAAAAGGGACCCTTCTTGCTTTAATCCTAATGGGAGTGACAGTGGGGTCTAGCTTTAAGGACACAGGTGGTCCTTTGAATGTGCCCAGCTGGGGGCTGAAAACATCTGCAAATTCTTTGCAGACTTCCTGTAGGTCGAGTGTTTGTAAGCTGTTGAGTCCTGTGACGTGTATCCCCAGGGCCTCAAACCAATCGAGTCCTATGAGACTCGTTCATTCACCCCCTACTACTAATAAGTCTAGTGGACCTTCAAAACTCTTGTATTGCACGTTAAGGGTGGCCTCCCCCTTAACACACACTCTTGAGTTCTGAAAATCTGTTAATACAATATCAGAAGGCCTTAACTTGGCCTTAGTCCCACTACTGGAACAAATCTTCCTAAATGTATGCAATGAAATGATGGAAAGGGCAGACCCTGTGTCTAGTTCCATAGATAATGGAACCCCTTGTAGCTTCACGTTGAGTGACAGCTTTTTCTTCATGGGCTTGTGTGTGCCTGTCCTACAGATGCTTCTTCGCGAAGCGCAAAAACCTACCCTATTCTGGCTGGGGAGTCTGGTACCCTTCAGGCGTTCTTCTTGGGGTTGTGCCTTTCGTCGGCCCAGCTGCAATGTGCCCTTGTTTGCCGCATGCCCGGCAGGTAGCGGAGCGGAACTTGCAGTCGGTTCTCCTGTGGCGACCTCCACAGCCGATGCACTTGAGCGGAGCCGAAGAGCTTCCCTTCTGGTTCTCTTCCTTCGCGGGGTGTAGACGGTCGACTTCTTCGTCCGGATCCTCCTCGGAGTTTCGTCGGACGTCTTCTTGGTGCACGGACGCACCCTCTGCACTGCTTCTGATCGGCCGCATGTTCTTGACGGCGCCGCCTGCTGCTTCTTCTGCGGTGACTTCCCTTAAGGCGTCTTGGAAGGATAATTCTTCCTTAGCGAAAAGTCTCTGTTGTAGCTCTCGATGCCTTAACCCGCACACGAATCGGTCCCTCAGTCATTCCTCGAGGTCCTTGAACTCGCAGGGCTTGGCGGCCTTCCGTAACGCGGCGATGTATTCCTTGGCTGACTCACCGGACCGTTGATCCCTCTGTTCGAAGGTGTGGCGCCATGAGATAACGGACACCTTGGGGTGGAAGTGCTCCTTCAGCAGCTTCTTCAGGTCTGCGTAGCTTACAGACTCTACTGGAACAGGTGCTGCAAGGTTTTCTGCAATTTTGAAGGCGTCTTGGCCGCAAACGCAAAGCAGGGTGGCAGCCTTCAAGCTATCTTCCCTCACTTGGTTTGCCTTGAAGTAGTTCTCCATTCTGGATACGTAGGACTCCCACCGCTCTGGATGTGAGACGTCGAATTCCGAAAGCCTTCGGATCTTCAGGAGACGGGTCTATCAGCCAGCCTACCCCCGAATGCGCACCGGATTGGCGGGCAGCTGCCGAGTCGACGCCGTTCCTCTTCCGCCGCTCAGGACTCCTTGGGTAAGCTTACACTTCTTCCTTTCCAGGTAGTGCAAGGCATCCCACCTTCGTCGCCAGTGTTGAGTCCGTGGCGGGAAAACAGACACGAGAAGCAGCTGGAGTTCTCAGTTTCTTTATTCAGCGTTCAGCTTACAGGAAGATGGCTTCAGCCTCGCCCAAACGCCTCGCAGCCTCTTATATAGGCAACTCCCGGGTAAATGGGTTACTTTTCCCGCGCCAGCACCCGCGCATGCGCACGGCGCTGGCGACAGCCTGTCTGGTCCCGGGCAGCTTTGCACCTGCCCGGGACTGCCTGCAAACGCCCGAGCCGTTTGCAAGGCTCGGGACATAACAGGTACACTGCAAGGATTGCCAATGTAATTATACGGGGGAGACGGCCAAATGGATAAAAACCAGAATACATGAACACAGATTGGCCGTCAGAAGGCAGGAGCAGTATTCCCAAATATGGACGCATATGGTTAACAACGGGCACTCATTCGACTTCAAGCGGGCAGAAGCCATCGCCCAAGATGCCTCCAAAGGAGGACGCCTGCTGAAGGAGGCCTGGCTCTCCAACATGGATTCAATCAATCGATGCATAGAATTGCCCCTGGCATACCAGACATTAAAAGTACACGAGGAGCAAATCAGGACGCGGATGGTGCTTACCAGAGGCAGAACCAGAACCGGGGGAGGCAGTCATCGCATGGCTAGGCAAAGAAAGGATTTGGAGGGAATAGGGACGGCAGGGATGGATGGTGAAATATTGGAATCACGGATGGATGGATGGATGGATGGATGGATGGATGGGGTGAAAAGGAGGGAGACGCGAGCATGGTGAAGAGCCGCAGGGGGGAGGTGACAATGAGGGGGCATTGGGAATGCTGGACCTGACTGTACGACCCAGAACACGTAGGACAGGGATACCAAACAAGACAGGGTTAGCCAGGAAGGGGAAGGAGGAGGAAAGGGATAAAAAAGGGGGGAGGTTGGACTTAAAGAGGAGCCAGCAGACAGTCCAACTGACCGTAGGCAGACAGGACAGAGAGACGGGACACGATCGTGCGCACACACAGCTAGGTGTGAAAGGAAATTGGGGGAATAAGGCTAATGAGGACGAGAGGGGCTGAGCCTAAGAGCAAGTCCCCACCGGGACTTTGCTTATCAGAAGTCCTCTGGTTGCAAAGGGTGATCATGTGATCCTGGAATCCTCCAGTGGTTGTAACCAGTGCTTTTTTTCTAAAAAAAAAAAAAAAAAAGGTGCTGGAACTCACACACGTTATACAACCCGCCTTGCCTACCCTACAAGGTTCCATCCAAAAAAGGTGCCGGAACTCCGTTCTGGGCGTTCTATGAGAAAAAAAGCCCTGGTTGTAACTACATGTCAGTTGCCAAGCACCCAAATTCTGATCAAGTGGCTGGGGAATACTGTGAGAGACATAAGTGAAAGGACCTGTTGTTATTCACTTACAGTCACTGTAACTTCAAACAGTTGTAAAACAAATTGGCATAAGTCGAGGACTGCCTGAAGTAAATTTACTGCTGGCTTCTCCACTGGACTGTTTACTGGAAGTTGTCTGTAAAGCATGCAAATGGCAACACATGACTCTGGGACGCTGTGATGGTCATAAATGCCATTTACTGGTTGAAAAGTGCCACATGGCTAGAAGGACACTGCAATGGTCATAAGCATGAGGACGACTCCAAAGCTACTTTTTCCAGCACCATCGTAACTTTGAATGGTTTCTAAACAGAGAAGTGGTTAAGCAAGGACCACCTGTGTATGGATAACAGATTCTATGCACGTGTTTGTGTGTCTGTGTGTTTCTCTGTTTATAAAGAGCTAGTTTGGACTAATGGTTAAGGGCTAGAAAGCGGGAGACCATGAGTTCTAATCATGCCCTTGCCATGAAAGCTAGCTGGCTAACCTTGGGCCAGTCTCTGCCCAACTCACTCCAAAGGGTTGTTGTTGTTGTAGGAAAAATAGGAGAACAAATGTGTATGGGATATGTTCACTGCCTTGAGTTATTTGTAAAAAAATAATAAAGGTGGGATATAAATGAATAAATAAATAAAATAAATATATGTAAATATATGCCAGGTTTATTTATACCTTGTATTTTTATACAGAACTGCTCTTCTTTTTTTAATAGTTTGTCAGCAGGTTTGAGTTAAGATTTCTCAGCGTGTTGATTGCTTCTGAGGGGATCCAGTTTGCTTCATTGGACTGAAAAATTGTTGTACAAGAGTACCTTTACAGTTGGAAAGAATTGATATGCTTTTTCTTCTCTTTCTCTTATTTTCACTCTTTTTTTTTTCCTTTTGATCTTTTCATTCTGGCAACTACATGGACAAGTCCATGAAGTTTCTTTTGGGGGGGGGGGTTATGTGTGGATGTGTTTTGCTCTTGCCTTCTGCCTAGGACTGAGGGGGAGAGACTGGCCCGAGGACACACAGCAGGTTTCCCACTCATAACTGTAATATGTTAATCACTAGTCTGTATAGTCTCTCTCTTTTCCACTGACAATCCAGGCAATATTTTGCTAAATTTCGGAAACTAAGTGCAGCAATTGGAAAATGGCGATGAATGATCAACCATTTAAAGTTAATTAGCTACTTTGAGGCAGCTCTGTAGGCTGGTGCTTTCCTTAGCTTAAGAACAGGAAGAAAAGCGGATCAGTATTTTGAGATATATTTCCTGTTCCTCCACATCATTAAGAAAGGATTTACATTCAACCTTATCTAGAGAAGCCCTGCTTTGATCCAGACAACTTTTGAACTTTTCCAATTCAACTCACTTTGGATTCAGCTTAATCTTATAGATGCTTCTAGGTCTAGGTTACAGGGGCAGGCAACCTTGGCTCTTTTATGACTTCAACTCCCAGAATTCCTGAGCCAGCATGGCTCAGCTTGGAAACTCTCCCTTTCCCCTCAGCATGGTGGCTCAGGAATTCTGGGAGTTGAATTCCACGAGTCATAAAAGAGCCAAGGTTGAACGATCAACCTCCCTTTTTCTCTATATGTGTCATGTGCACAAGGGATGTTAAAACACAGGGACTTTAATTGCAAATTTTCAGCTATCATCTTGACTTTTTTTAATCCCTCTCCAGAACAAACCCATGAGAAGGAAAAACAAATGCTTAACATTTAGACAGATTTTGGCAAAGGCTGATTCCTTCTGTAAAAGAGGAAATTATTAATATCAAATCACTCAAATCTCAAAATGGGATACCCATTTTAACTTTCATTCTAATTTTCTTCCTATATATTGCTTCAAAAGGCTACATCTTTTCTTTTTCACACACACACGCACATACACAAACACATGCAAACTAAGTTGTTTTGGTTCTTCACTGCAGCTACTGAGCAACCAGCCACAGGCAAACCATTCTTGCTATGAGCAGATCAAAAATGAGTATCTGGAGGAATCATCAGAATAACAGAATTTTTGCTAGCAATTGTAATTTAGACACCTACCTTGTCATTGCCTGAGCTTGCATCTGCTCTCCACTGAGGGATTATAATTTCATGGGGCATCTGGGGAGTGTTCCTCATTGCTGGAGAAATATAAGGAATTGCTCAAAGATCATTATGAATTTGTAAAATTCATCAGAGGAAAAAAACCATAATTCATAATCCATTAAGACAGCAACAACTTTTATCACGTTAGATATTTCCTACTTCCCTTCAACAGTATCCTTTATTTTTAGAAAAGACTCATCTAGTGTTTTCCAAATATTCTGTCTTTAACAGCATCATGATCATGATCATAAAGTTGGAAGGAATCTTGGAGGTCATTTAGTCCAACCCCCTGCTCAGGCAGGAAACCCGATACCATTTCAGACAAATGGCTGTCCATCTCTTCTTAAAAACTTCCAGTGTTGGAGCATTCACCACTTCTGGAGGCTGATTAATTGTTTTAACTGTCAGGAAATTTCTCCTTAGTTCTAGGTTGCTTCTCTCTTTGATTAGTTTCCATCCATTGCTTCTTGTCCTGCCTTCAGGTACTTTGGAGAATAGGTGGACTCCCTCTTCTTTGTGGCAGTCCCTGAGATATTCAAAAACTGCTATCATGGTGGCCTGTCCCAAAGGCAACTAAACTTTCTTGGGTTTTTTCTTTGAAAATATTTTGCTTCTCATCCAGGAAACTTCTTCAGTTCTTGGCTGGTTCAGTTCTTGGAATCTTCTTGGGTGAGAAGTGAAATGTTTTCAAAGAAAAAAACAAGAAAGTCCAGTTGTCTTTTGTAAAACCACCTTTGGGACAACCATGACCTGGATGATTGACAATCTCCATAAATATTCATGGTGGACTGATTTAGGAGCAGAACTAAGTTTGTTTGCTTGACTTTCTTCAACTGCTCCTTCTGGATTTATAACACTAAATCTTCTGATATTGAGGTTAAACTGGCACAGATCTCTGAGCTATTTCCAGCTTAACCCACTGCTACTTGTGTTAGGTAGCTCTGTCACTATGTTCCTGTTTTCCTTCACAGTCATTGGATCTTGTCCTCCCATTCTGTTAAAGTTTATGGCTTTTTGTTTTTTGTGGTTTTATTTAGGTTGGTTTTCTCTCTATCCTTGGTAGCATCTGGTTAGATTTTGGGATCATCCCAACAACCTGATGACCAAGATCCAATGGTTCATAGGCTGAATGGATGCTGGTGGACTTTGGGTAAATATGCCATTCCTTCCAATCTCTGCTTGTCTGTTAGGCTTCAGATTTATAAGGGCCCTCTCAAAATGCATAAGCCAGACTACATTTTCTCCTTTTGGAAAAGTTTCATCTTTTATCTCTTCTCATTTTTTACTGAAAGATTTATTTATTTATTTAATTTCCCATTAAATTGCCCCTTTAGAATATAGAACATACAGCACAGACTCATAGGCCTGGAAGGGATCTCAGAGATCATCTAGTCCAACCTTTGCTCAAGACAGGAGACCTTATACCATTTCAATCAAATGGTTGTCCAGTCTATTCTTAAAAACCTCCAGTGGAGGAGCATTCACACCTCTGGGAGGCAAACGATTCCACTGAATAATTCTCACTGTCAGAAAATTTCTCCTTACTTCTAGATTGGATCTCTCTTTAACAAGCTTCCACCCGTTACTTCCGGTTTTGCCCTCAGGTGCTTCAGAGAAAAAAAGTCAATCCCCTCTTCTCTGTGACAGCCCCTCAAGTATTGGAATATAGTTATCATGTCCCTCCTAATTCTTCTCTTTAATAGGCTACATATACTTAGTTCCCTCAACCATTGATCATACCTGTACTTGTTTCCTCTATCTTGTGAAACACTGCCTGATCTCTAGAAACAAAAACAGAACATTCAAGTATCATCCTTGGTCACCAGTTTTTTTCACCAGAAAGAAGAATTATTATTTTTGTATGTATGTGTAATTCTATTTATAATCATCCTTATTTCTAAATTGATCAGAAGTTTTTTCACAGAAAGAGAGCAGGGAAGCTGCTGCTCAGATATGAACAATTATTGGGGGAGGGATGTACTTTGGAGGAGCCATTGGTGTGTCAGTCAAGCTCTAGGAACCATTTTTAAAAAGGCTGTCCCAAAGCCCATTATCTCTAGGTTTGGTTGGTGACTGTTGAGAGCAGGAGAACGTTAAGTATTATCCTACATAAGGCAGAATTCCCCAACCTTTCCGGCTTTGCGGACCGGCAGGTGGGGAGGCGAGAGGGGATGATTCCGTGCGAGCAGCTGTCAAGAGCATGCGCAGGTCCATTTGCGCACCCATTGGTTATGCAAATGGAGTGGACGCACTTGCCCACTGGTCGCACAAGTGGGGATCTTCCTGCATGCACGCACACTTACCTGTCGTTTCTGCGGCCCAGTTCCAAACCGCGCACGGGCCAGTAGTGGGCTGTGACCCAGGAGTTGGGGATCCCTGACATGAAGCATAAGCCTCTTAGTCATCATTGGTTCAGTTTGCAGATAGTAACAGATTCAGGCAGGAAGTGAAACAATGTCTACTACACTTAAGAGTCTTTTATTATTAGAAGGTTCAGAAAAGAAAGTTATTTACTTCACTGAAGTAAATACAAGAAAGCTGATACAAGTTTTTTGATGAAGCAAATATATTCCTTCATATATTTTATTCTTTATCCCAGTGGTTCTCAACCTGTGGGTCGGGACCCCATTTGGGGTTGAACAACCATTTCACGGGGGTCGCCAAACAACGCAGTCCGCCATTTTTTTCCCCTTTTCCTTAGCTGTGCTACTCCCCTTTATTCTATTGGCTTTTGAAAGCCAATAGAATAGACTCTCTTGAATAGAGTCTAATTCTATTGGCTTTCAAAAGCCAATAGGAATTGTCCAGGCTGTCTCTGCCCTGCTGAGCCCACCAAAAGTCCCATTCTGCAAACGGTGCTGCACCAGTTGAGTAGTCCTCGACTTATGACCAGTTGAATAGTCCTCGACTTATGACCGGTTGGGGGTCGCGGCATTAAAAAGATTGAGAACCACTGCTTTATCCTATTTTTGATTTAAGTTTTATTTTCTTATTGTTACTTCTCTGCAGCTCTAGGTGTTATTAATTATCCTGACGATACAATTTCTATTTTAAGATTCTACAATTTTTACTGTATTTTTTCTTAGCTATATTTTTGCTCTATTATTTTTCACTGATACTAGTTGTACCCCACCCTGACCACCTCAAGCAGCAATATAGGTTTGGTCTAATGGTTAAAGTGCTGGCCTAGAAACTAGCAAAGTTCTACTCCTGCCTTAGGCATGAATGCTGACTGGTGACTTTGGGCTAGTTATTCCCTCTCAGGTTTGTTGTTATGAGGAAAATTGGAGGAGGAAAGAATATTAGGTATGTTCAGCACCTAGAATTAATTATATAAAAAAAATAAAGGTGGGATATAAATAAATAAATGTAGTTTTCATGACTGATACCTGCTTTTTCCTCATGCAGCCTTAACTTGCTCTACTGCTACATGTAAACTAGCTGGAAACAACACTGGCTCAAGGAATTCATTTCTGACTTTCAACGCCTTTCTATCTTTTGTCCAATGATGGTGTGATGTTTTGTGGGGACCATGCTTTCCACTGGCCTGATTGGTTGATTCCTCTGCTGCTTTATCCCTCCCATCCATGGCTGGAAAGCTTTGGGGACATTTGGTTTTGATCATTTATAGGATCCCTCCCTTCCTCCCCCCCCCCGCCCCGCCCCGAACTGATTCCCTTACATATTGACACATCTGATGAATCCTGTGCTGGACCTGCTGGAAAAGAAACATATTTGAATATATAAGTCTTCCTGTCATTTAGGCTAAAGGAGGAAGTGGCAGATTTTTTTTCTTCATTTGATTTGGCTGAAAACTTCTCAAGGGAGGAGAGAGAATATGTTTTTAAGAAATGACCAGAGAGAGCAGTGACCAGAGTGAAGTGGCTTGTCTATCATAGTGCAAAAACCACTTGCCTACAATGAAACAGGCAAGTTGCTCTCTCCTCTTCCCCAATCAAGGGGGAAACTAACCCACCTAATGTATGGATTGTTCACTTTACTCATTTTTGGAGCATATTTTTCAAAACACATCATAAGTACTGTTGGCATTTTAAGACCCTGGGTTGGTTCTTTAAAGAGTAACTCATACCTTTCCAATTAACCTAAAATTAAAAACTTCTACATTAGTTCAACTGGAGGCTGTGACTCTTAAATTATAGCTGCTGTAAGTTATCCCTCGGGGTTCTGCTGACACCAGGTTGTGGGTGTTGTTTTGGAAAAAAAGTTCAGCAATTCCATTTCTCCTGGGCATACCTGTTGAACATCTTTTCGCAAACAAGGCAGCAGCTTCAGAATTAAACCTTCTTGGGAGCACAACAATTATAGTAGTAATAAAAGCAGAACAGGGAGGTGAGGAACAACAATTCTGCTCCTCTGTTCTACACCTGTTATTTATGCACAAATTCTTATGCACTTATGAAAACTAACCACACACCTCATTGTTTCCTCTTCCCAGAAATGCTAACATCTCATACTTGTTCCATTCCCTAGAATTATTTCCAGCAAAATGCCCTTTTATTTAATGCTACCGGTTAAAGAAAAAATAAACATTATTTCCAATGCTGAGGATATTTACATTCATAATTAAGTTGCTCTGTCTAGTTGAATAGATCGGATGTCTATTCCATTAGCAGCTCTAATTATAATATTAGCATGCATAGCTTGCAGAGAGAGGCAAACAATTACCTATCCATTTTGAAGGCTCAGCTGCAAACTCTCTTAGACAAAGCAAGATGATGCCAATGCAATAAGCCAAGCCCCCTTCTGCCAACACGGGCATCGTTTTTCCAATAGTCTGGGAAGAAGATCGTCCGAGAGATGAAGACTGACAGCTCCGCCGCTCTATGCCTCCGCGCTTGCAAAGGCATTGGACACAAGCCCCTTGAATTCGTGCGCCTACTCAAGGCCATTCTTAAAGCCCGCCCACGACGGAAGCCATCCTTCCGCCCATTGGTCAGAGATCTTCCCGGTATCAACGATGAGAAGCCACCACAAAAGATGCCAACGAGAAAACCGATCCTTCTTTCCCACTTTCTCGTGCCTCCGGTTTTAAAATTGATCAGAGACTGCTGCGAGTATTACTTCTCCAAGTCTCCAAGCCTATGGGGCGATGGATTTATACGTGCAATCTTTTACTTCCATCAGGTCTGCTTTTAAGGAGCCTCTTCGGATTCTAAAATCCCTGAGGGATTAAAATTCCTCCGCCTGTCTTTATTTTAAAATTTAACATGCAAATCGAGCTAGCGGCCCCGAGCAGCTCCAACCTTGGAAATAAGGAGCCGCGCGCCGCGCACGCCTCCACCAAGCTCCGAAGGGACCGCATTGCGCAATAAACAGAATGGCCCTTTCAGGTGCGCCCTCTGGTGGCGAGTCTAGAACTTGCTGGTTGCCAGAAGCTGCCGCCGGTGCTGGAGGTAGAGTGATACCCGCAATAGTATTTTTCTCCATGTTTCTTTTCATGGACGTCAGTTGTGTGGGGAACCTACAGTTTTGAAATCATCGTTGAAGCTATATTTTAAGTTGCTCTCCCTGCATGAAAAGCACCACAGTCTAAGTATTTCTCAACTTCAGCAACTTTAAGAGGTGTGAACTTCAAGACCCAGAATTCTCTGGTGCTAAGATTAAGAAATGAAGGTTAAGAAGGTTTTTTAAAAATAGTCCAAACCATAAATTCCAAGATAGTTTCTGGGCCAAGTACCTTTCCTCCTATAGTTGTGCATTTGATTTCCTTTTTATGTGTAACCAAGTTCCCACTATCCAAAGGACCTACGGTATTTAAAAGACTAGTGCCAGCAGCATAGACTGTGGCAGCTAAAATTGACAAGAAGGCAGAAAGAATGACTTTAGCATACATTAAAAAGATCGGCCTTTACAGCACAATGCTCCCTTCACCATCTTATCACTATTGACCCTCTCCCAACCCGAGCAGACACTGTTGTCTTGAGAAAGGCCTTGTGAGAGTGCCTAGTCCAGTGCTGTTCAGAAAGTTTTTACAAACTGGAAAAGAAAAAGCACATTCTGGCAGCAGTAGTTGCTGGTTTACATATGAAATCCACTGACCACTGGAGTTAGATCAAGAGAATAAGAAATAGTGAATTCATCTGAAGGATTCAGTTTTCATTCTGAACATCAGGATCTTTCTCGGTGTCCTGAAACTATTATTTTGTGAATTATCAGTGTTGTATTTCTGACATCTGCCATTATGGGTTGTAGCCCACAAAAGCTATGCAGTAACTATAATAAATCTTTCAAGTTTGACAAAACAAGTCCTGTAGGAAGCTGAATATTTGGTTATTTTTACGTAAAATACTATTCAGAAGGTAATGAGTCAAATATTATGTCTCCAATAATTTCCTTTGATTCATGTTGAATCAAGAATGTATGTATGCTACAGACAATCTTCTTAACTAGACACATTGCAGCTATAGTTTGTTATATTTTCCATTGCTCCGTCTTCTGGGTTGAGCAGATGGGCACAGACAATTTTCTTTCAAACTTAATGATGGCTCCAAGCATCAAGCAACCCATCTTGCAAAGAAAGACAATGTCCCAAATACTGTAGGTAACTTTTCTAGTTTGTTTGGCGAGAGAAAAACAGTACTAGTTTGGAATCTGTTGAAAAACATTGGTGTGGTTCAGTGATAGATAGAAACAAGTCCTTGGAATGCTGGCCCACCTGAAAACTATCATCGATCCACTGTTAGACCCCTTGCAATTTTCCTATCGAGCAAATAGATCAGCAGACGATGCTGTTAATATGGCACTGCACTACATCTTACAACATCTTGAATCTTCAAGGACCCATGCAAGGGTCCTTTTTGTAGACTTCAGCTGGTCATTCAATACCATATTTCCAGATATTCTTCTCACTAAACTGACTCAGCTAGCTGTGCCTGACCACACTTGTAAGTGGATCACAAGCTTAGGAAGCAGCAGGTGAAGCTAGGCAAAATCACATCAGATACCTGTACAATTAGCACAGGGGCCTCCCAAGGCTGTGTGCTCTCTCCACTACTTTTTTCTCTGTGTACCAATGACTGCATCTCAAAGGACCCCTCTGTTAAAGTACTGAAGTTAGCAGATGATACAACAGTGATTTGTCTCATTTGATCTGACAATGAATCTGCACACATGGGAAGCTGATCAACTGGCCTTGTGGTGTATCTGGAACAATGTTGAACTTAACACACTCAAAACTGTAGGGTTGATAGATTTTTGGAGAAGTCCTCCTATTCTTCCAGTTCTTAAAATACTAGACAACACAGTATCAACAGTAGAGACCTTCAAATTTCTAAGTTCTGTAATATCTCAAGACTTAAAATGGATACCTAACATCAAAAATGTCATCAAAAAACCACAATAAAGAATGTTCTTTCTGCACCAACTCAGAAAACTCAGAAAGCTGTTGATACAGTTACAAAGGAATTGAGTCTGTCATTTGCACCTCTATAACTGTCTGGTTTGGCACAGCAACAAACAGACTTCAACAAATAGTTAGGACTGCAGAAAAATAATTGCAACCAGCCTGCCTTCCACTGAGGACTTGTATACTGCACAAGCTAGAAAGAGGGCTGTGAAAATATCAAAAGACCCCACACATCCTGATCATAAACTGTTTCAACTTCTTCCTTCAAGACAATACTACTCCAAAACAACTAGAAACAAGGATAGTTTTTTCCTCCATGCCATTACTCTGCTAAACAACTAATTCCCACAACACTGTCTTATGCTCTGGGATGTTAAACTAACCTAGTAGGGCTATATTACTATTATCCTTCTCATCTTTCCTATTACCCATTTCCTTATGATTTATGTTGATTGTTTTTATTTAGTATGCTATTATGATTTATGTTGATTGCTTATTTATTATCCTGTGATTATCACTGTTGTATCTTATGATTTATGATTGTATTTTATGATTATGATTTATCACTTGTTGCTTGTATGTACACAGAGAGCTTATGCACCAGAGACAAATTCCTTGTGTGTCCAATCACACTTGGCCAATAAAGAATTATATTCTAAACTTGGAGTCTTCCAGGTACATTTGCTTAAAATCTTCAGAATGTCCAACAAGCACAGCGAAAATTGAAGAAAAATTAATCTAAGTACTGGCAGCTATTATTAGGCAGATAAAATCTTCTTTGAATTGAGTTCAAGTCTTGTTGACCTATGAATATTTCTGTCTTTTTTGATGGGGGGGAGGCAACAATACCATATTTTGATATTTTTCTTTTCCAATTTAGCTTATGGCTCTGTTTCTTGATGGTCACCCATCCAATTTAACCAGATCTGATGCTACTGGTAGTTAGCATTTCAGATAAGTACAAGGTTATGGATGCAAATGGGCTGGAAGTACAGAAAATCCATGAGTATAAACTTATTTCACTATGGGGGAGCAGTTGGACTAATAGAAAGCAATCAATAGTCACCCTCTCATCCACAGAAGCAGACTACATACCTGAAGATAATTAATCTGGATACATAAATTAGTCCCACAATTATGCATGAGGATAATAAAAGTTGCAGTCTGATTTCCAAATCAGAGAAAATTATGCGTAAAGCACATTGGTGCCAATTACTATTCTGGATGAGATGCACAGCTGAACGGGACTGATGAGCTGATTTCTACTCCACAGGAAAGATAATAACAGATATACTTACAAGGCACTATGAATTTAAAGACCTTCATGAAGTGATGAGAGTTATGAATTGGTGCAATAGCTTTTGAGAATTGTAGTGCTATTATAATTCAATTTTGCACGTGCCAGCCTTTTGCACCTATAAACCTATTGATCACTCAGGACAATGAGTAGAAGATCCCTGCATCTTTATGTGCTGAAATTTAAGAAGAGACTGGACAGCTATTTGTCTAAAATGGTATAGGGTTTCCTGCCTGAGCAGGGTGTTGGACCAAGGTCCCTTCCAACATCATCATCATCATCATTATTACTATTATTTACATTGCTTGCCTCTATGTGGCATGTCTACCATTGATTGAATTCCTGTTCTTGGGTTTTCTTCCTTTATAGAACTTCCTCTATCCGTTCAGTTCTTATTCTATTCTATGAACTATGCAGTTCAGATACCTATTTGACCCTATTGCCTGGGCAGAATTAAACAATGCTCCTTAATAGTGGGGTTTTTTTTAAAAAAAAGTTACTATCCTCTTTTCAAACTGGACCCTTTTATGAGGAGAAAATGCGCCATGGCTATAAAAAGTTTGGGGTTAACACTCTTCCAGCAATCCACAAAGATTAGATTTCTTTCCTTGGATCAATAGAGTTACCTCTGCTTTTAAGATCACACCGTTGTACTGTGGTTCATTCCTATCCCAGCTTAATCTTCGCTACTGTTCTAAGATTTGTAAGAAGTGCAGCCTTCGGGCAAACCTACCTGTGGGCACATAAACTTGATGTTATGCAGCTTGCTACATTTGTGACCCAAGTAAACCATTCTGAATGCATCCCAGTTAGTAGCTTTAATAATGACAAAAATCCATGATGGAAGGAATCCAGGTTATACACTTCCCATTAAGGTGTTCACATGATCTTATTTCATCAAAACAGCATGAGAATCATATATGCATACATACAACGCTATATATCTTCTGTAAAGAATTAATGCCCTTCTTCCTCTTTTCTTTGTGGATGCCTGCATAAAACAAAACTTATTCTAAAGGGGAACTGCATTAAAATTTTGTTTGTGCCTTGTGCCCAATTATACAAGATAAAATGTAGTAGGCATATTGTTTTATAAACTGAGTTGCCAAATGTTTTTGTTTTGTTTTTAGAATCAGCATCCTGAATATTTATTTGCTTACATTTTTTGTACATAGGAAAGAAAATGGACAAACTTTTCCCCTTATTCTACTACAGAAAGCTTGGGGTTTTATGTTAATAAGCAGATTTTACTTTGAGGTTTATCCCAGTTCTGACAAAATCATTGGTCTCTACCATAGAGGAATGTCTCCATGAGATTAGTCTTTAATTTTTGGTTTCAAGAGTCAGCAATTTATTCTCCATATTGCACAGTTTACCATTCTGTCAGATAAAAAAGCTGCATAAAAATTGTAAATTAATATATTGATTTTTCTTTGCCCTGGAATAGCACTCTATTGGGCAAGCTAAATGTTATATACATTATGCTACAGCTGATGTTTTTTTTTATAATGACATTTTTATCACCCTGAACTTTTAATGTGAGGTTTGTTTTTTTTCCTTTTTGTTATCACAAAATTATTTCTGATCTTTTTTCATAGACTGGGGAATGTAATAATTTTAATGAAATGTAATGGGACTCATTTGAACCAGAATACTATGGTTAATTCTGTGATTTGTGAATAATAATAAAATGACACTGAATTGCAGGATAATCTTTTGTGTATGCTGTCTTTCTGGGAGTTATAATCTAACAAATCAAGAGGACTGTAGGTTGGAAAGGACTGGCTTACGCCGATTCTTCTAGTTTATAACATTTTTCTTAGGATGTTCAGGATTTGGCCTGGTGTCTGCTTACCTGTCCTTCTTTTAGTGCTGCTCAACTTATTTTGTGCTATTTATATATTGTAAAGGGGAAAAAAAGAACAATTGTATTGTGTTAGATGGGGTTGCACAATCTTTTTTTGGGTGGTGGCGGGAATCGTAGCTCATTTGCTCACAAGAATTCTTGAAGACAACTTTCACATATATTTGAAATATATGTTTAGAATATAGCAAGTATTCTAAACCACATCAGTATTATATATTAGTGCTGATGCAAAAGTACTATGATTGTTAGCAAAAATTACCAATCAAGCATAGAATTTCCTTTTCATCCTTTAAATTTTTTTTCTATCCAATAAAGGCTATTATCTCTTAACATGTATGATAAGAAAATTTACAATTTAAATAAAATGTTATGAACAGGATTAACATTTTCAATTAGCTTACAATAGTTACTGATAATAGTACACCCTTTGTATGATTATCATTAAAACAAACCCCTCTACAGAATATGAAAATTGATAACCACATTTGACCTTATCATGTACATACAAGCAAGGGTCATAATTCATTTTTTGTCACAATATAGAGAGGTAACAACATACAGTTCATACGATTTTATTTTAACATAACAAAAATGGAACATCTATACTATCAGCCCCTTTCCCCAAAACAGAAAGAAAAGTGTAGCTATAAAATTGGTTTGTAACATGAACAAATAGCTTAGTAATGTTTCATCTTCTTTACAACTACTTTTGATGCACTACATTTTAAAATGCATTGTTTGCAATGTTGTTATTTATATTCTGGTATAGAATCATAACCTGCTTGTATACAACTGACAGCTAGATTGAGTCTTACTTATTCTTAGAATTATGTAACTGTTCCATTTATATGGATGCTAAAAGATGAATTGTTCTTGCAGAGGAATAAGTTAAATCGTAAACAGGGCTGCAGTCTTCAGATAATTATATAGCAATTTCTGCATAAATATAGATTAGATTCTGGAACAACTGTAGTTGCTTTTTTAAAAAATAACTACTTTTACCACAGGTCAGATTTTTAAATCTGACAATTCTGACTTATGTATAACAAAGTATGTGCACACCATGGACACAACAGAGAAATAAATACATTTTTTTTTATCTTGATAGAAATTAAAATCTCACCATGCCATCAAGGAACAGAGACTGAAACAGGAAAATGAAGTTTCCCATCATAAATAGTATGATTCTATTTAAATTAAGGTCTGTATGTGCTCAAGAGCAGATTTTAAAAATTGTGGTAAGTTGCACACAATTATGTTGCTTCTAGCATTACATAACATGAGGAATATAGGTCAATGCCCTGATTTCATTAATTATCAAACTTCTTCAGTGCACTTTTTCAAATGCACAATGTTGACTAATCAGTTTAGCTGAATGTAGAATCAATAAGACACACTATTCACATGGTCTCTGGAAACATTACCCATAGCATTCAGCTACAAGGCAAGAGATAACTAAATAAAAAAGTCTTCACCATCTTAAGAGCTGCCTTGATCAGCAGAGTATGCAAAATTAATATAAAAATATACAGTACCTGTGATGATACATTGGTTCAGGAACTCTCCCATGTGTCATAAAAACTTTAGAACCACCTAGATTTACTATGCCTTCTAGATAACACTCACTAAAATAGTGTTATATGAGGAACATGTTTTATTTCACGTTTTAAAAAGTATGCTAGATTTGATCTGAAAAATTACAAATCTCTCAACACCTTTCCTTCTTCCTCATCATCACTATCGGTCACATTAACTTGCTGTACACTAGAAGGGGTGGAAGGGGTGGCTGTAAAAACATTTTCAAGGGCCCCAATGTCCAACTGTGGCATTGGGTTTAAATACTCCTCTTCAGTCTGACTGTGGCTGCTGTAATAGGATGTCCCTTCCAAGCTCTCACAGCTGTGGGAGTCTTCGCTATGTGTGTGTTCATCAGGATATTCTCTGAATGGGTAGTCTCTGTTCAGGGCAGAAAACATGGCCTCATGCTTTTGATACTGGTCTTCATAAAAGCCAAGGCACTCAGGCATGGAGCTGGGGAAATTCCCATAACCAAAAGGAGGACGGCTATATGGACATGTGCTGTATCAAAACAAAGAAAAAGGTTACTTCAGTTGCTTTGTCCTAGGACTGATATGGCACTACTAACACATACAGGTACTTTTTGACTTACAGTTACAACCATTTGTTTAGTGACCGTTCAAAGTTACAATGGCAGTGAAAAAAAAGAGACTTATGACCAGTTTTCACACTTATGACATTGCAGCATCCCCATGGTCATGTGATCAAAATTCAGGCACTTGGCAAATGGAGTGTATTTAGGACACTTGTACTGTCTGGGGGTCATGTGATCACCATTTGCAACCTTCCCAGCTGATTTCCAACAAGTAAAATCAATGGGGGAAGTCAGATTTGCTTAACAACCACGATTCATTTAACAACAGCAGTGATTTGCTTAACAACTGTGGCAAAAATGGTCATAAAACGGGGCAAAACTCAGTTAATTGCCTTACTTAGCAATAGAAATTTTGGACTCAACTGTAGTCATTCGCTGAAGACTACCTACATAGCAGATCTTTATTTTTAAGCCTTGAGTTAAACTAATAGAAAAGTACATTCTCTTTCAGGCTGAAAAATGTATTTGACTTTTTAATAGACAGCCAAGTGACCATAATCTGCAGCAGGATAAAAAATTCATTTAATTTCAATTCTGTTAATTTAGTATTTAATTTGTGTATTTAATTAAAAGTATAGTTATTCCCCACATATTTAGCATTTTTCTGATCACATTTAAATTCACAGTTCTGTAACAACTTTTGGAAGTGATCTATAGCCGCATCTAAGGTTTTTGCCACAAGGTCTAGACACAGAAAGTAGAATATTGACTAGGCCAGGGGTAGGCAACCTTAGCTCTTTTATGACTCGTGGACTTCAACTCCCAGAATTAGGAATTCTGGGAGTTGAAGTCCACGAGTCATAAAAGAGCCAAGGTTGCCTACCCCTGGACTAGGCAGTCCTACAGTACAGAAATCAATCCAGAGGTAGGTCAATTCAGTCACTTACCCCCAACTTTTAATAAAAGCTGATTTATGTAATGAATATACAGTATAGCATTCATCCCAAAATAATAAAATGCTTTAAGATGATATAAAATAAACAAAAGCAATAAACACTCTAACAGCATCCTCAATATACGTAGAGAGGGTTAAATAATAACTAAAAGGCAATTTAAAAATTCTGTGGTGATGAGAAATGCCATATAGCCTGCTTTATTGTTTACATGAAATGTTAACAAGTATATGTATGTGGCTTTGTGTATGCATGTATGCCTGGGTATGTCTCTCTATTCTCCTTCAACTCAAGCTCCTGATAATTTGGCTGTCCGGCCGGCCGGCTGGCTGGCTGGATTGAATAATGTGCAAATTGTTTCAAAACTGAAACAGCACTTTTGAATTTGAAGCATTTGAACATCCATCATAAACACAGATATATACACTCACATTCAGAAATACAAGATTTGAATGGGTACAAGGAACACATAAATAGAGATATCAGAAGCAAATTAAATAGGTGAGGTATTGTGATAATTACATTTAGCAATTTACAGAACAGTTGCTGTTGATCAAATAACTTCCTGGCATTGAATAAGAGACCTCATGTAGTTCTGGATCTTTATGGTTAACAATAAGATAATTATTGTCTTATATTTTTCATTTCATCTCCCTTCAACTGCTCCACATTGTAACAACCTAAGTTCATCTCTGATGCCAATTCAAAATGTTGGGCTTTTATAATGAGCCCTGGTGGCACGATGGTTGGAATGCAGTATTGCAGGCTAACTCTGCCCACAGCCAAGAGATTGATCCTGACGGCTCAATATTGTCTCAGCTTTCTATCCTTTCAAGGTTGGCAAAACGCAGAACCAGATTGTTGGGGCAAAATGCTGACATAAACTGTTCAGAGTGTTGTAAAGCACTGTGGAGCAGTATATATAGGGTGTTTTTCTGTTTGTGTAAGCCACCTTGAGTTGCCATGTGCAAGTAGGTAGCAATACAAATTTTCTAAATAAAATATACTGTAAGACTCAGCACTATTGCTATAATGTTTATCTTCAATGGCAGTTATTTTTGCCTTGAAGCTCATGTCTAAATACTAACAAGACAGGTGATTGATCCAATAAACAAAATCACTCTTGTATCAAGCCATACAAGCTAAACAGAATTTTGTTTTTAAAAGTCCCCGTTTGCATTTAATATAAGTGAAGATTTTTCTCAACAAATTAACAGTATCTGGGCAGTCTTGTATAGGCTTGGTAAGAGCATACTGATTAGATTGGATGGGATACCAGAGATGATAGTTAAACAGGGGAATAAAAAAAAAAAATCCTAGATAAATAAGTTAATGAAGTTACCAGGAGTCAAACTTGTCTTGGAATAAATTTTACTTAAATGGTTTTTCTGCTTATCCTGTCCCAATTTATAATACCTGCTGAGATTGTGAATGCTCTATACAATATGCACTACAGCAGCCCCAAAGTGAAATTAACAGGGCATTTATAAGGATATTTTTTTCCAGAATAAGCGCATAGCTAACTAACTAAAATTAGAGTACTTTGCTCTTTTCTCATTTTCTTAATGGGTACTTTCCATATCACACTATTCAGTAGACTCTTGTGGAAGGTTAAAAAAGTAGTAGTAGTCTACCAAGGAAAGATTGACTTAAGGGAAAGTTCACATAAATCTAAAGTACATTTTATTCTGTTTTAGTGTGTTGTGTAAATTCAGACATTATACGTAAAACATGTTTTATGGTTTACTGTCTTGTGCAAACCCCTATTGGTTATTGAACAATCTGTGGTGTATTCACCATATACTTAGCTAGATGGGTGACTTCAGCAGAGAATTATACAAGAGAACTAAAAACTCAGCCAGCTTGGTATCATGGTGAAGTATTGCCTAGAACCCAGGAGACTGTGAGTTCTAGGCCTCCCTTAGGCATGAAAGCCAGCTGGGTGACTTTGGGCCAGTCACTCTTTCTCAGCCCAAATCACCTTAGAAAGTATTTGTTGTGAAGAAAATGGGAGGCAGGAGTATTCGGTAGGTTTGTCACCTTGACTGATTGATATATATCAGGGTATCATCATCATCATCATCATTTTCTCTTCAAGGAAGAGAGCGGCTTCAGGTAAAAAATAACACATGTCCAGATTGTATTGAGTTTATATCTAACTTAAGAAAAATCAAGGCTGGAAGTCAGAGACTAAGTCGTTGGAGTTTGAGGTCTCTAATCAAAAACTGTTGTGTAGAGCCCCAAACATTCAGATTGTATCTTGGAAAGATTTATTTTAATAATTAGATGAGTATGATGATTCTGACTTGGTTTTTCTACTTAGAAGGTCTTGTTTCATGTTTTCTAATAAATTAAAAGTCTTAAAAAGAGACAATAATGTACTAGACAGGTTTAAAAGATTGGACATGGGAGAAAAATCTTTGAAGGCCTCTATGGTGACGGGAAAATTGGATAAAAATAATTTCAGTAGAATGAAATGTATGGAAGTTCCAAATGAAAGGAAACAGAGGGAAAACAGAAGGAAAATTATCTAATATGATTGCACTTTTGCTAACAGTAACTGCAAACCTTGGCATAATATATCTAATTACATATTCCAAAATGCAAGTATGTGGTTGCATTACCTTGATGGGAAATAATGAGGCCCTGGTAAAAAGTAAGGATGGTGAAATGAAAATCGAGGAGGAGCTCCAAAGAGAGTTGCTGGATGACCACTGGGAGGAGGCTGATAGACGTGTGGATGAGGGATAGGTGGTGCTTGAGGAATGGGTCCATTTCTAGAACATGAAGAAACACCTGAGTATTCCTTGGGGGGTTGGCTATTTGAGACACTGTATCTAGGGTGAGTAGTGCTTGTATTATTTGGGGTCCTGCTTGAGCTTTCAATAGAAATCTGGGTGGGTCTCTTAATAGAGCAATTTGTTCCTGAAGAGACACGATGAGCTTCTGTTGGGGAAGGTGCAGCAAATCGTTGAGGATGAAGGACTGGCCGAATCGGCAAGTTTGCAGTTGAGGCAGCTAATGGTGTTGTGTTTCCTACACTTGGCTGGAACAGTGTAATGGGGCCTGGATGCTGAGCAGAAGGAGCTGGCAGCTGGATAGTAGAAGCGGCTTCACCTGTGGAGAAGGAAAACGATCAGTTATAACTGAGAAATTCAGATTAATAGTATTTTCTTATTTAAAGTTTATTTTCTTTTACTACAAAACATTTGCCTGCAAATTATAATTATACTATGAATGAAAAGCATGTCACGTAATTAGTATGTGTAGGACTATATTATAATTTACGCTTTTATAAAAAATTATATCATGCCATTATACTTTGATAAAAAGATAAAGAAATATTATAATTCCTTAAATTTTTACAATCTGGTTTTTACAATCTGAAAACTTAAATTCCTTCTATTTTTGGAAACTCATCACTATTATCAACAATAAAAGATTTTTTTTTAATATAAAAAAGCATGGGCCTAGGTGATCTGAAGGACACCTCTCTCTAATCATACCTAACCAACAGATCCAGCAGGAAAGGCATATGAAGAGTCCTGTCCAGGAAGGAATGATATCTAATGGGACCAAGGAGGAAAGGTTTATCTGCTAAACACCTACCTTTTGGAATATTATTCCTTTCGATATCAGATTGGCCCCAACTGGGCTGGCTGTCTAAAAGAGCCTGAAAAAAAGGTTTTGCCAATTGGCCTGGGAATCTGAAAACATGGATATGGAGACTGTATTGCTAGGGAAACTGAGCACAGATTATCTTCCACAGATTATGGATTTTTGTTTTGCTTTTTAAATAACTAAATATTGTTTTAGGTTTTTTAAATTATTTTTGTTATGGTTTTGTTATTTTGTAGTATTGTTTTTTTGTGTTTTTAACTTCGTTCAGAGTCATGCATGATTTATTGATTTGATTTTTATCTCACCTTTATTAATGTATATATGTAACTCAAGGCAGCAAACATTCCTAATACTCCTTCCTCCTCCTCTTTTCCCCACAACAACCCTGTGTGGTGAATTAGATTAAGGGATAGGCCCACGGTCACCAGCCAGCTTTCCTATCTAAGGTGGGGACTAGAACTCAGTCTCCTGGTTTCTAGACCAGCACCTTAACCTCACCAAACTGGCTCTCTTTATTTATCAAATAAATAAATAAATTAGTGCTGTATAATATCCAAAGATATTTAGGATATCTTTCAAATTTGTTAATAAAAGCCTATATTTAGGTCTGTATTTAGGAGACAAATACCTGCGAACTTCCCTTTTACGGAAAGAACTGTCTCCTCAACTATGTACAACAGAACTGTTACAAAAAAACAAAGAAACACTCCAACATAATGCATTGGGGGATAAACTGGAAACTGTGCATTTGGAGAAATTCTTGTCACCCTATTCCCTTAATCTTAGTATGTGTAACTAAGAAAGATTCTGAGATTCTTATTTGGAAGAATCAGTTTCACTTGAGTCAGCTGCCATAACACAACACCATCCTTTACAAAAAAAGCACATTTCTGATTCCATTTATTATAGAAGTGTGAGTAGTGGTGTTGTCAGAAATTGCTTATATGCGTTTCATTTGAAAATAATGTTCTTTGTGGAATTCTTGTCTTGGGAGTTCTGAGAAATTTGTTCATTACATTCCAGGCTAGTGGCAAAGAAATTTGATACTATTTAAGTCTTACCATGTGAATTAACTTAAAGACAATTTTACTTAATAAGAATCAAATTTACAAATTTGAAAAAAATGGTTATAAAAGTATGGTTATATTTTATCAGCTTCTTTAACTTGCTGAAAACATCTAAATATATGTGCAATGTTTACTTGCTAGTTTAAAGATTTCTACAAAATGTGCTTGTGCTATGAATATGCTTATAGGAATTAAAATTCTTATTCCAAAGGTGCTTTCAAAAAGGCAATTGGGCTGTCTTGATTTTTTTCAAGACATTTCACTTCTCACCCAAGCAGTCTCTTCAGTTCTAACTAATTGGTGGGCAATGGAAAGGATTTATATTGTTTGCAATCAGTCACTATGAGGGTCATTACACCACCTGGCGGTTAATCTGGGTCCTCAGAGTCACCTGAATCAGAGTGCCAAGGAGTGTGGTACTGACTTGGAACTGTTGAAAGGGCTGCATTGTAATCAACAGATAAGTTGTGTCCTATCCCTTCCCCTCTGTTGAGGGAGGGCTGTTCAATTTTAACACAGATAGCCTCTTTGACTCCTTTCAAGCCAGTTTAAAGAATTCATATAAACCAGGGGTGTCAAACTGCCAGCCCACGGGCCGGTTGCATCGTGTGGAGGCCGCACCCGCCCCAGCTCTGGAAATGTGAAAAAAGTCGTGATACGTCACGACATATCATGTGACGTGGCAAGTTTAGATACCCGTGATATAAACAATCAAAATTAACTTACAGACTGGATGTCCAATGCTGTTCTGTACGTTGGGTATAACCACAGAGTAGGTAGGTGATCGGAAAGGGTAAATGGTAGTTGGATTTGTAGTAATAATACTCTGAGAAGTCCCAGTAAAGACAGTAGAGGCCGTCATTGGACTTGTAGCTATGATGTTCTGAGTTGTACCCGAGAATACAGTGGAGACAGTCAATGGAAACCTCTTCCTTTTGCCAGGCCTTGGCTGGTAAACCCAACCTGCAGAAATGTTAGAGAGTACGCCAGCTGAAAGATAGAGTTCCTTTTGAAAATTCTTACTTAACGAAGCTATGCATTATTAAGAATAACGTAAACTTCTCTGTAGTAAGCTCAGAAAATCATATTTGCAAAAGAACACACGTACAGTATGAATAGGAAGCTTACAATCTCTCAAAGGGAAAGAGAAATACTGTTTCTTTCTATTTGTAATCTCTCGTTATCATGGGTTTTGGTTTGAGTTCTATACAAACATTAGAGTCAATTTGGAATCCTGGCGATTACAAGGATAAGCTCCCACAATCTCTTGGCAGCATTTTTCAGAAGTGGTTCTTCTTAGGGCTGAAAGGAAATGACTGCCCCAGTCATCCAGTTGCTTTGTGCAAGATTATTATTCATGCTCACTGTCATTAATCACTACACCAAATTGGTATTCATGCTATCAATATTATCATCCGATTGTGGCATAACTTTACAATCAAGACTGAATACCAACTTTGTTAAATAAAACATTATTATTTCTGCTAATACTAAATAAAAATAATGCATTTATTATTCTATTATTCATTATATTTGCTTTAATATTACAGAATTTAGCATCAGATTATTTTTTAAATATGTATTTAAAATCAGAGCCTTGGAAATTATTATATTATCTGAATTGTATTTCACTGGGAATAACACAAAAACATGCAATGAGTTTAAAACAAGAACACCAGCAGAAATTATCAGCATTAATATAATTGGGGAAATTAATATTAACATATGCCTTTAGTTGATTAAACTATTTTTCCCCAGATGTAATTTCAAATGATTAACAAAGTTTACATAAATCAGCGGAAATGCACATTCACAAGACAGATGAGAGAAAAGTTGCAGCTTTCTTTGTTTGATTGTTGTGGACTGCCCAGAGTCACTGAGAGTCTGCAAGTTTAATAAATAATGATAATTATTTCCATATCCTAAATATGTCCCACTTGACAAAATGGGAAAACCTTAGTGCTCATACTAATATACAGATGATTTATCTACATGTGTGGTGGCATAATGTCACCATTCATCTGGTACATGTATGTCTTTGGGAGAAGATACATAAGTGAGAAAGAAAAACTAAGGAATTTGCTTCATTATTTAAACATACTATGTTTTTTTCATCTGCATTGTCCTTCCAGGATTCTGTTTCCTGAATGATTATATTTAAACACCATCTTTCCATGCACGAACCCGTGGATTATCTAATGGCGATCAGATATTAAAAATGTATAAATAATTGTCTCTCTAGTACCAGGAAATTCTTCTCTGTGTTTTTCTTTTATCTTCTGAGCTTCATCATAATAAGGTTTCTTTTGTTCTTCAGTGAGCTTGTTCCATTCCAATCCAAGCTGGACACTGATCTCGGCATTATTAGCAGCAGGGTTAGCTTTGGCCAAGGCTGGCCGATGAATTCTTGCCCATACCATAAATGCATTCATAGGACGCTTGACATGGCCATCTCTATCTTTGCTGAACGGAGTATCTGGTATCCCTACGATAAAGTAATATTAATGTTTAGGTAATATAGGGATTGGTGGAATATACTGCTAATTCTGCGGTATTCTGTGGGCATTGAAGTATGATCCTAGCAATAATAATAAAATGATTTTTCTCTACCTCATTTGCTGAAATGTATAAAATTTAGCATGAAAGGACAGCAAACACTGCTTCATTCTGGCAACAAATGCAAAGATCTAGGCTCAAACACACCCCAATTCTAAATTCTAATTATTATGGTTATTACATCTGGCTGTAGATTATGGATTTTGGTGACTAGTATAGGGCCATTATAGGCAAGTGTAAAATGATCTTATTGTAAAGTGAAATTATAAACTGATATAGGACAGTGAGGATTGTGTAATTTACTTTTCTACTGCGTATGGAAGAGGTAGGAGTATGATTCCTCCTGGAGCCTTTATCTGCAATAATACTTTAGACTGGGGACCTCCTCTAAGGAGTTGTTGGAAATATAAAAGAGGAAAAAAACTGTTATACAAGTCCATTGGATTTTACAATTAATTCTTTTTCTCACTACATGCAACATGCTAAATATTAGCAACTATGTAAATAACAAGCAGATTTTCTACCAGTTTTGGGAACTTTGATTTCCACTTTGTCACAGGGCAAATTATATTTGAAACTGGGTGAAGTTGTCAGGATCAGTTTGCAAGATGGCATAGGGATTAGAAATTTACTAGGTGGTTACAAGACTTCTACCTAAATTTCTTGAATCTAACTAAACACTAAGTAACTATATGCCAAAACAAACAAAGGCACATCTGTTCTATGCTCTTGTATAAGGTTCCAATTCTCCAAAAGAAAGATTAAATATCCCATGTTTCCCTCTGTAAATTTCTCTTGAAATTTACTATTATAATTACATCATGAACAAGACAAGTTTATCCATGACTGTGTTTAAGAGTGTACCTTATGTGCCCTTCAATAAGACTCTAACCTTTAGTGTTTGGTTTCTAAATTGAGTTTACCTAGACTAAAGCAGCCATGGCTACAAATGTATATTGAATCAGAATATAAAAACATATTATACTACATGGCCCAACTGGTTTAACGTTATGCTATACCATGACTTTTGAACAAGCCAGTTGGTTAGGCTCAGAAAACACATTGTATCTTAAACAACAGCCTAAAAACCATACCATAACTCAGATGCCATCAACTAAAGGATGTCATTGTGTAGGGTCCAGGAAACCAGCTTTTTCTGTAACATCACCTGCTCTTCAGACAGCTTGCACACTCAAGATTCAGATGGCCCTAACCCTAGTCGCTTGTTGGAAAACTTTTAAGACCTGGCTGTTTCCCGGGCATGGAGGTCATGATAGTTAGGTCTGTAAGGTCTTGTTAATCTATTATAGCATGGTCTGCTCTTGGTTGCCATTTTTTTACTTTATGTCTTTTGCTAATGAGGCAGTTTACTGCACTGGTGTTTTAAACTATGCTAGCTGGCCAGATATGTGGTAGCAAGATGGGCAGCCATATAAATAGAATGAAACAAATAAGCAAAATCAACACTAAAACAAATCATATTATGCTATATGGATCAGGCTTCTTTCTGGGAGCAAGTTTCATTGAAATCAGTGGGATACATTTTCAAATAACTATGTTGTCACCAGATGAATAGCATTCTGGCCAGAAGCTTGTTAACTGAGCATCTTGACAAACATTTATTCTCAAATGCCCAGCGTCCGGTTTCTTGGACCCCATCTCTATTAAGCGATCAACTCCTTGAAATCCAATTTAAGTATCACATCTGTCACTAAATTTACAATCTAAGAATCTGCCAGTTCCCTTTTAAACTAGCCAACAACATTGTATCTCATGAAAACAAATTCCAAATTTTCAATAAGTCCTAGGTGAAGGAGTGCCTTTCATCTTCTTAAATGCAACTGCCAATCACTTGGAAAGCTCCTGCAAGATAAGGGAAGTATTATACTGCACTAAGAGACACCTGAATTCAAATGTTTGCAATTCCTCAATAGGCTAGTAGGATCACTTAACTAAAATCACATCAAAGAGTTTTGTGAGGGAAAAAAACCCCATAGCTTCAGGGAGAACAGATAGAAGGACTAGAAATGTAACAAATCCCATTTAGCATCTCTTTATCCATTTATACATATCATTAAATTGTATACTATCAATTTACAGTTTTAATTCTTTTTTTCTTAATTGAAAACTCCAACCCTTTTATGCTCCAGTTCAGAATTTTTATTCTGTATCTTTTCTAATTTTGTGGTAAGAATGTTGAGATAAACAACTACATAACATTGTTTCTAACCTGTTTTAGACTTTTAGATCATATTTTAATTATGATCACAAATCTTACACAAACATAAGAAACCTTATGTCTGGAAGCCAGATCTGCATCTAATTCAGTGGATTTATTTTTTCATTACTGCAACTTATCAGTAACTTTTCAATGATTTGGTCGTAACACCAATACTTAAATATTAAATGAAGAGAATAATTTTTACATTCATACAGAATACATAATGTTGTCTCCTTCAAGACGCATGTTTCCATTAACCCACTTATTCTGAGTGTACTTGAAATTATTTTTTTATAGCCTTACACTGGAACAAGTATCTAATTTTCAGTTTCCAGCAAAACACAATACAACAAACTTCAAGTAAAAGTGTTCATTTATATAACATATTATCTTCCATATTAAAATACACTGAAAGAAAAATTAGTAAGCTTTCAGTCTCATTTTTTATTGTAATAGTACAACATAATGCTTTATAATGACCCATTTTTGTCTAATATTATATTATCTAGCTCAGACATGTCAAACTCGTGACGTCACATGACATCACGCTACTTATCGGAACTTTTTCCCCATTGCCAGCAATAGGGCGGTTTCTTCATGATGCGTCTGGCCCGCGGGCCGGCAGTTTGACACCCCTGATCTAGCTATACTGAATAACAGATAATGCTTCAGAAATTCAGATAACAGACTTTCCCACATAAAATTGCCAGAAATGGATCTTTGGCATATAAAAACAGACATACTCTACCACTGACATAAAAAAATGTTTTTTTAATAAATATATTTTCCCCAAATAGAGTAACTTTATAATTTTTTAAAAATATTTTCAAGAGTAGGTTTATTTACTTGCTAATAAAATAATTATATTTGTGGTGTTTGAGCCTAAAAAGATCCAGGAAGATTAATGTAAAATTCTTAACACTGAATCCCTTTTAATGGCAGCTAGTTATTCTTTACAGCTTCAGGAAAGGTGTTCGTTTTTTGTGATGGGCTATGTTAAGTTTCAATGTTTAACTTTTCACATACTAGTAAGAATGAAAATAAATGTTTGCACTCAGGATTTCATTTAGGAAAATATTGCCTCGCAATATTACAAACAGGAGATATTTTTTCCCTTTATTCTCTAATTCAATAGGACAGAGTCCATTTATATTCATGTAGCCCCATACCAGTGATGGTGAACCTTTTAAAGACTGAGTGCCCAAACTGCAACCCAAAATCCACTTATGCATCGTTGAATGCTGGGTGGGTGTGGCCCATTGGCTGGGTGTGGCCAATTGGGTGGGCATGGCCAATTGAGTGGGTGTGGCTGCAGTGGTAACGGCAGACTGGGTGGGACTAAAAAGTTCAATCAATCAATTCCAACTTTGCAAGATCTTTTTTTTTTCCAGAAGTTGAAATTGACTGATTGAACCTTTTTTTTTTTTTTTGCACATGGTGGCGAAGGCCTAAAGCAAAAAGGTTTTATGAACCCAGCTGAAGGCCTAGGACTGGGGCGACGGTGCACATGCCCACAGAGAAGGCTCTGAGTGCTGCCTCTGGCACCCGTGCCATAGGTTCGCCACCATTGCCCTATACTGATTTCTCTTGCTCATGTTATACTGTAATATATGTGTGGAATGGACAGATTTAAAAAAAACCTTTTATAGACACTCATATAATCAACATATATCTGCTGTGAAATTCTAACCTTAACCATATTTAATGAATCCTATTAACATCTATGGACTGTGGAATTGCCTTCAAGAAATTAGTACCAAAAGCACAGTAACCAACATTTAATTATCTGAATCCCTCTCTCTATATAAAATCATATATAGTATAAATAAATGGCTTTAGTGTTGGAAGACTGAATATTTTGACTGCTCCTAAGCTATGATAAACACTTCATATCCCCCAAAAAGAAAACATAAAGCTGAGGTCAGGAAATAGTTTTCTTCTTTCTCATTGACCATGAAATATAATTCACAAGATTAGTTTTAACTTCATCACTATTTCCACCATCGTATTAAATAATTGAGGATTCCATCTATGTGTCATTGACAAGGCATTTTATTAGCGATCTGGCCAAATTCAGTTGACATAGACTAATTTATTTTTAAGCAACAAAATTGCATAGATACCTTAGGGCAGACATGTCAAACTTGTGATGTCATGTGACATCATGCTATTTATCGGAGCTTTTTCCCCATTGCCGGCAATAGGGTGGGCATGGTTTCCTCATGACGCATCCAGCCCAGGGGCCGACAGTTTGACACCCCTGCTTTAGGGGAACAATAAAACCTCTGCCTTTTGATACCAAACCAGCAGATTTATACAGATGGTAGAATGTGAGACTTCCAATAGAATGAACTCATTCATATTCAACTATGTCATTCACTGAATGGCCCATTATCTGCCCCTTGTTCAATCTAATTTATTTTATGGGATTGTGAGAATAAAATGGAGGACTATTGGCTTATTGTAACTCCTCATAAGAAGAAAGGAATAAAATTAATTTCAATTATCTGCTAATTGTATCATTTCCTTGATGACAATTATCTGTGGTCTGGTCACCTCTCCCACCCAGACTATTATAAAGCATTCTACATAGGGTTAGCTTTTCAAACAGGCTGCAGCCCGGTAGTGGGCTGCAGCCCAGTATTGGGAACCCCTGGTTTATTGTTTTAGTTATTTCAGATGTTTTATCATTCTGATTTTACTGTACAGTGCCCAGAATCACATTTGAGATATGGGCGGCTATATACATTTGATAAAAGCCTAATTCTTTTATTGTAACATAAGGTTTTATGAATTGGTAATATAGGTTTTACTCTATGAAATTAAATCCTAAAATAAATGTTAGATTTTAGGTCTGTGTAGCATTTTTTATTCAATTTCAAAGACATGTGGGAGCAGAAATACAGCACTTCAGCTTTTTAAAGCAACTGCATCTTTTGGAATCAAATTTGAAGCATCCCATAGCCCTATTATACTTTAGGCTATTTTAGTATCTTTTGCCTCTGTCAAACAGAATTTTTTCCCACTTTATTATTTTGATAAATAACTCAAGGCAGCAAACATACATACAGTAATACTCCTTCCTCATTCTATTTTCCTAACAACTCTGTGAGGGGGGATTGTGTTCAGAGAGTGACTGGCCCAAGTCCACACAATCGGCTTTTATACCTAAAGTGGGACTAGAAATCAGTCTCCTGGTTTCTAGGGCAGCACATTAACCACTACACCAAACTGTAAAACAGTTTGAGAAGTATAATAATCCCTGTGAGTAGGTTTCATGCATTGGAATATGCACTATTGTATATGAATTGCTGAAAGTTTGAAGAGTGGGGTCCACTGTCTTACACTTTGAAATAATAGTGGAGCTCCAATCCAGGGTTCAATCCAGTGTTTATGTATTATGGTCAATATGATAAATTCTGACTAATTTCTAATACCTGCGTCTGAGGGTAGCACTGTGAGAGGAACATCTTTAGTTTCAATTTTGACTGAAGGCTCCAACAAGGACTGCATTTTAAGGGGTACTTGTGTCACTGGCACTTTAGTCATTCTTATAAGTTCAGATGGAGGTGGTCCCTGAAACTGGATCCTAGCCCCTGGAGGGACTGGATGGAGTGTAACAGGAATCTTCAGTTCTTGAGAATGCTGTGTTCCCAGAGATTGAGACAAACTAACATCCTTACTAATGTGAGCCGGACCACTGGAAGATGGTTGAGGCTTGGATGCCACCTCTTCCCTCCCCTTGCAATACTCCTCAGGAGGTTCTACCAGTTCAGTTTTGATGGTCCCTTCTTTTGCAGATCCCAAGACTTCGGCATCACAGTTTTCTTTCATCTTTGCCTCTTTCTTGATTTCCTCCAGCTCTTCAACTTTCCCCAGTTTGACTTCCCCTACACATTTCACACTGCTGCTACTTTCATCTTTGCCGTTGAGATGGTTTATAAAAGTTTTAGGCTCTCGTCTTTTTTTCTTATTGCTACTTCCCATAAAGAGCAATGGGTTCTCTGGCTCACGCTCCTCTGCTTTCACTTGTAACCCTTTCTGGTGCCCATTTTCTTCCTCCTCTTCTTGCTTTTCAGAGACTCCAGTTTCCGTCCCAAAGACAGGCTGGGAAAGCTGCCTTTCAAGACAAATCTGCTCTTCCAAAATATGCTGCTGCTCTTTAAGGGCACCCCCTTCCCCAGGCTGTGGAAGTTTCTGTTCCTGGTGCAAAACGCTTTGCTTGGGAGAGAGGGGGTGCAGGAGATGGTGCTGGGGAACCTGCTTGGGAGGGAATAGCAGAGGGTGGGAGACCCTGCCCCCCTGGCCTGGCAGAGGGTGCAGGAGAAGATGGTCCATGCAGGGAGTGCTCTGCCTAGCCGTGGAATGCAGGAGCCGGTGCTGCTCTCTTGGGGCTTCCTCCTGCGCCCCTTTTTCCATGCTGCAGCCCAGCCTTGATAGTAGGATTGTTATGGGATTGTGAGCTCAGCCCGGTCCTCTGTTACCGCCCGTTTGTCTGCTGCGGTTGGCTTGCAAACGTTCTCCGCTCCCCCTCCCCCCCAACTCCAAGGTGCACGCGCCGCACTCGACCCCGCCCTCTGGCTCGCCAGGGCCTCGCGCCTTCCGCCCGCCGGCCAGAAATGGCAATTTGTGGGGCTCCACGTGCCTCCCACTTTTCCCTCCTTGGACTGTTGCCTGGAGGTTGCCATGGCTACCCTGGGCGCCACGTAACAATGAGGTCGCCTTGGAGACCGAGGGAGGAACAGGCGCACGGACCCTACGTCGATGGCGCCGCTTTTTTGCGGAGGGATGAGTTTGGGCCTCGCACTCTCTCGCCGTTGAGCGGAAGGTGGTTTGCGCATCTGCTCCTCTCTCCTCACCCCACTGAGCAACCACAAGTCTACGCACATGGAGGGGTGGGAGGATGAGGGGACGCGCGATCCGAGAAGGCGGGGCTCAGCCTTAAGTCTTTACTCGGACGCCTCTACGTACGCCTGGAAGAGGCAGAGGGCCGGTAGTGATTCCGGAGGATCTTACGGTATCATAGAGAGGCAGCATTAGAGTTCGTCTCTTCCGGTGTCGCCCAGCGCTCCTTCCGGCAATGCTGCCGCAGCCTAGGCTTGGTGGCGCCTTCGCTGCCATCGCTTTGGGCCTCAGATCAAGATTTCGTTGTTATGTCCGAGCCGCTATGGCGAAGAGCAAGTTCGAATACGTCCGGGCTTTCGAAGTGGAGGATAAATGTTTGCCCAACTGCTGGATCGTGGTACGGTTGGACGGACGCTGCTTCCACCGGTAAAGACACGCTTCAACCATTGGCGGCAGCGTGTGGATTTAACAGGCTTGGTTGCCCGGCGACCGCCAACCAATAGGAATGAGAGTCAGCGCCGGGATCTTGCTCAGGCCTCGGCGGCGCCGGTTCAAAGTGAAATCCCTGACTTCACTTTAGAATACCGTTTCCCAGCCATCGGCAGCCACTTGATATTGGACTTTTGTTCCCAGAATTCATCAGTTCATCGGGCATTGCTGTGGATTCTGGGAATTGAAGTTCACACGTTTGAAAGTGGCCAAGTTTAGTGAGTACTGCGAATTTGGGGGTACTGTGCGCTTGCGTGTATGTTTAATACCATACATAACTGATCTTTGATATTAGGAGGGCTTTATTGGATATAGTAGCATGAGTCAAATCTTAACAAATATTAATTTCTTTTAATTACATTTGTAATTTTTGGGAAGAATCGTTTCTCTAGTTCCTTGCTCAGGTCAAAACATCAGATGCCATTATCCAGAGGTGAAAAGCATATTAGTGTTCAAGGTGAAAGCATTGAATGCTATTGACCTATTGCAAAGAGTGCAAAGCTATCTTATATTCAGGGGTAAATAGTCTGCACATGTCTAGTTTTAGAATTTTAAAGTTTTACTTTCCTAATAATAGTTTCTCCTTTTCTAACTGATATATCTTATTAGCAAAACACTACTCTTCTAAAATGGCATTGGTTTAGCTTTTTAATGATTATCTTCTAACATTTTGTAATGACGATAAAACAGATTATGTAAAATTAGATGGATCACAGCTTAATGTTTTTCATATTGTATTTTATTATTATTTGGAAGAATTATCAATGGTGTATTAAAAAATAAAACAGTATATTGCATTTGTACAGATGACATGCATTCATCATGCTCCAAATGTTATCTGGACAAGTTCTGATTTTACTAGTTTCCAGGAGTTAGATGTTGACATGATCAAGAAGAGGTATATTATAATATAGAGGCTTCAATTGAAAAACATTGTCTTCAAGCACCTGATCTTTTAACTTCTTAAGCATGGTGGACAGTTGACAGAAATGTCAGAGAACATACACCAAATGTGTTAATTCCAGATGGAAAAGAAAATCCTGAAGGTACCTAGAAGCCAAAGCATAAAGAGCAGTGGTTCTCAACCTTTTTAATGCCGCGACCCCCAACCGTCGTAAGTCGAGGACTACTCAACCAGTCGTAAGTTGAGGACTACTCAACTGGTGCAGCACCATTTGCAGAATGGGACTTTTGGCGGGCTCAGCAGGGCAGAGACAGCCTGGACAATTCCTATTGGCTTTTGAAAGCCAATAGAATTAGACTCTATTCAAGAGAGTCTATTCTATTGACTTTCAAAAGCCAATAGAATAAAAGGGAGTAGCACAGCTAAGGAAAAGGGAAAAAATGGCGGACTGCGTTGTTTGGCGACCCCAGTGTTACATGGCTGTCATGATTTTCATTTTCAAGCAAGTAGGATACTACACTTTGCACCAATTTCAGGTTACTTTCAAAAGCAGCCCCATGTAAAACACATTGCAATGACTGTTACGTCTATTGCTCCAGATAGGGCTGCAACTAAGTGCGCAAAGCCCCTATCATAGCCTCTACCAAAACTTCAGTATCTGTAACACAGGAGAATTATTTAAACAGATATGACAAATCAAGTATTTTTAATTAATGCTTTAATTAATGCCTAATTAATTTTTCATTTTGAAGCTTTGCTGAGCAGCATGATTTTAAGAAACCTAATGATGATTGTGCACTTAATTTGATGAACAAGTGCGCCCAAACAGTGATGGAAGAGATGGAGGAAATTGTCCTTGCCTATGGACAAAGTGATGAATACAGCTTTGTTTTCAAAAAGAAAACCAACTTGTTTAAGAGAAGGGCAAGGTAGTTCTTTTTACAGTTTCTTCCCCCTCCCAAAATGGGTTAAGACACTCCAAAATAAGCTTTAATATAACAATTTGATTACTTTTGATTTTATGATACTAGCAGCTTTCCCATATATATTCATTCTTAGAAACATCAATATATGTAGTGAGGAAGAGACACATACACAAACACACACAGGTATCTTTGCACGTGTATACTAGCATTTGATGGATGTGGCCATTAAATGTTACTGTCAAGGTATTTTTAACTTTCATTCCCATATTTCATTTTTAAAAGTGGTTTAACTGTATGAAATCTTCCAAAAATAGATGATGGCCTCATTATATGCCTATTTATTTCATATTCTTATTTAATAAACTGCAAAATAGTTTAACATTAGTACTTCAATTGCACAGAGATTTTGCAATATTGGATTATAGTTTATTTAGTACATGAAGGTCTTATAGCAATATGAGCTGCTGTGTGACTTTCAGTCTGTGAGTGAAGCCTTGTGGTATACCAATTATTTTTGAAGCACTTTATTTGACAACAAATTGTACAATTCATTTATAGTAAAATGTAGAAAGATATTAAATCAGTTTAATATGATAGACTAAAAGACATTTTAAAAGATGCTTTATATATAATTCATAAATAAGAGTTACATTTTACAGTTATGAGAAGTTAACTGATAGAATCATAGATACTGACAGTCAATACTGCCTAACATAAAATATATGCATGACAAAATTAAACATGTTGGATTTTGACTTTATACTTAGCATATACTTTGAGATAACTAGAGCTAGTCATTACTCTTTGTAGAGAAATCTTATATATTATGCTGCCAACATTTTGGATTCATAAACTATGAGAATAAGTTATAAAGTTATAAAAAGAATCCCGAAAATCAAGAACAAGGGACACATTTTTGCATTTATATAGACTAGTTAACTCTTGGGTTGGTTATATTAAAAAGTTATATTTTCTCTTCCTTTTTTTCTATTCACAAGTAAATTAATGACTCTTGTGGTCGCTACATTTGCATCCAGCTATGTTTTCTATTGGAAGGATTATTTTAAGGACAAGCCCCTCTTGTATCCACCAGGATTTGATGGACGTGTTGTCTTGTATCCTAGTGACCAAAATCTAAAAGATTATCTCAGTTGGCGACAAGCTGATTGTAAGTATTGCAGGAGATGGAGGTTGTAGAATGGTAATTTTTAAGAATAGATATTTAATCTCTTTTTCTGCTTTAAAAAAACATTAAAGGTAACTGATTTTATTCACTTGAATTATCAACTTTTATCATCACAACTTTAGAGGTGGAAAGTAGCTGGAGGAGGGGTGTCTCTTACAGTACTCAAGTATTTTCTCAAAATTGTATTCTTACTTAGAAATATTTTCCACAACAAAAATGGAGCTGTGCTATAATCCATTACTCTATGAAATATGATTCAGATGCTGCCTTATTATTCAGGTCAACAAGTGCAAATATATTAATATTGATGGACATTCAAGATTATCAGTGATGTCTTCTATTTCCTTCCATTGCATCTAGCAATTGATGAGATGCTTTTTCCAAAAATTTCTAGTTATTGAATCCTTACCCTAGATGGCTTGCCCTATAAATTGAAGAAAGTAAAAAAACAAAACAAAACAAAAAACCTCTGCACAATGTAGGAATTTATTATAAAAATACATTTTAAGAAACTGTGATGCTATTGTTTAAGTTGTAACAATTATAATACCATTTCTGAAACCAATCTTATAGTAAATATTGCTGTGAAGATGAAATTTAATACACTTTCCATTCTTCTCTAATGATTATTATTTCACTTGGTATCACTATAGGTCATATCAATAACCTCTATAATACAGTATTTTGGACTCTTGTGCAGAAAGGTGGCCTGACACCAGTACAAGCCCAAGAGAGACTTAAGGTTTGAAACATTATTCCAAATATTTCAGCCTAAAGAGTACATTGTACCTAGCTTGTGTTATTTCCAGAAGCATATATAACATTCGAAGTATTTTTAATATTGGAACAGATGTATTTGTGCATTTGTGTTATATTCCAAGTTTTATTTTACATTTGCTGTTTTTGCTGGAATGCTTGTCTACATGGATTAGATTTGGTTTCTGGTAGGAAGGTTAAGCCTACAAAGAACTGGCTATTATTTAGGAAAGATGTAAGTATAGCAACCGATCAACTTCAGGTAAAACAGGAAATAAAAAAGAAAAACACTTTATTTATTTAGTGTATGGCATATGATTCATGGACTAGCAATATAAATTAACATTAAATTAAATGAATTAGATTAAAAGAAAAAGACTAAAAAGTTCCCTTTTTCCTCTGGTTAATGCTATCTGGCAGGACTTAAAAATAGTAATTCTTTGCAGGGAATCATCTACCTTAGGATTTGTTTTCTAAATTATTATTTGGTTTAGTGGTTAAGGCACCAGCCTAGAAAGCAGGAAACCATGAGTTCAACTCCTGCCTTGGAAAGCCAGCTCGATGACCTTTGGCTAATTACTCTCTCTCTCTCTCTCTCTCTCTCTCTCTCTCTCTCTCTCTCTCTCAGCCCAACCCACCTCACAAGGTTGTTGTTGTGGGGAAAGGAGGAGGAGGAAGGTGTGTTGGATATGTTTGCCACATTGAGTTATTTGTAAAATAAAGGAAGGAAATAGATAGATAGATAGATAGATAGATAGATAGATAGATAGATAGATAGATAGATAGATAGATAGATAGATAGATAGATAGAAGAAAGAAAAAAGAAAGAAAAAGAAGAAAGAAAAAGTTGCAGGAAAACAATGACACAAAGCTCAATTCCTCTAGAAAAACAAAACTGTAATTTGATTCATTTTTCTTTCAACTTTTCTAATTTTTAAGACCTTAAAATTTTAGAAGAAATGTCGTATATGTACTACATACTTTTCATTGCTCATCTTTAGCTTTTATCATTCAGGAAGCTTTGATTACTTTTCAATCTTAGTTTCCTAAATTTAATTTCCCATGTGCAAATGTTAGTGGGATGTAGCCTAGATTAGACCCTTGAATGGGATCATTTATCCATGTGTTATAGATAATCTTGGCAAGGTGATCAAAAATATTATTTTGCCAGGTATTTCTTTGCCATTATCCTTATCTTGTACCTTTATGCACAAGCATATTCACGGACAATTCTTTTTCTCTTGATAATATCAGGTTTGGATCTGAAAGGGGGATCTGATAACTTGATTGTGTAACGGTGAACTATGTGAGTGTTTCAAGAGTGCAACAGCCCAAAGATTCCCAGTCTACCTTCCAGCCATAGAGTTAGGGAAATATAGTGATTTCTCTGTGTGCTACTGGAGATTTTAACTAAGGATTCTGGCCATGTTATGTTTATCAGAATTACAAGTAAATGAAAATATTGACCTCTAGATCAGGGCAAGAAAATAATAGATGTCATAGTGACATAAGTATACATAGCTATTAAGAGAAGATGGGGACACATTACATTTTTTTGCTGCTTGGCAAATAATATTCTCTCCCAATTGCACCTTTTAGGTCTAAACCAGGGGTGTCAAACTGCCGGCCCACAGGCCAGTTGCATCATACGGAGGCCGCGCCCACCCCAGCTCTAGCAATGCAAAAAAAGTCACATCGCGACACGTCATGTGATGCAGCAAGTTTGACACCCATGGTCTAAACAGTTTATAAGCTAAGAATAAATATTTCCATATGCACCTAAACCCTTGAGTCCACAGAAGAAACAGATAGACTGAAATTGCTGGTTTTGCAAATGTTTGTTATGGAATAAAAATATTAATTTTTTAAATACTAAATTTGCCTTCTCCAATCTGGCACCCTTTTGATGTGTTAGATCTCATTATTATATGTATATGTATGCAGTCATGGGATTCTGATAGTTATAGTATCAACACGTTTGGAGGCCACCAAATGGGGAGAAATGTATATTACATTATTCACCAACTTTTTGCCTGCTAATAATAATGATGGATGGCATCTTAGTAACTGTTAAAGAATGAGTTTTTAAGCTCTACCAGTTAGTATCTATATGCTTCCTTATAGATAATATATGCTTCCTTATTTTCTTTCTGGAAAGAATGTGTGTTTAGAAATGTGGTGGGTTCCTTTTTGTTCAAATACCCCTAAATCAGGGATCCCTAATCCCCGGTCCATGGACAGGTACTGAGCCGTGGCATGCCAGCTACCAGTCCGCACAAACAAGCAAAGCCCCATCTGCAAGATGCAGGCAGCACACAAAACCACGCCACCTCCGGTCTGCAGAACCGGTTCCTGGTGCATAAAAGGTTGGGGGGCCTCTGCCCTAAATAAAGAGCAATGTCCATTCATTACATTTGAAATTATTACAGTTCTCCTAGGTTCATATGAAGTGGGGTTTTTTTTCCTTTTAGGGAACCCTTGCAAATGACAAGAATGAGATTTTATTTTCAGAATTCAACATTAACTACAACAAAGAACCTGAAATATATAAGAAAGGAACTATTTTAATATGGAAGAAGGTAAGTCATACTCTTGTTTGTTTTTAAAATGACAGCAGGCATATTTTAAATAAGTAATTATACAAAATATTTTAAGATAATATAATGGGGGGTTTTTACAAAGTCCATCTGTGCTGAATTACCAGAGACATCTGTTTCATCAGTTGATCATGCTTTTGTATGATGAAGTTACTGCAGAATTATTCCTGTATTAGACAATCAGAAGCATTGTCATTGTCATCAGCCATTCAGTTGTGTCTGACGCTAGGCCACTCTATGGATCAGCACTCCCCATGCTCCTCTGTTTTGCACTGACTCCTTCAGGTCCGCCATAGTCATCCCAGTGACATCCATTATAGTGTCCAGCCAGCAGATACTAAGAACCAGAAGCAAAATAGTGGTAATTCTGGTTTGAGGTTTAGTTAAAGCTGGATCTTCACATATTAATATCCCTGCTATTGAAGGTGGAAAAGTTTGGGCTTTTGAAGTCTCTATGCAGATATCTGTCTATACATAAAACCAAATCATGTACTTACCTCTACTGTTGAATCCTTTCAAAAATAATTGTAAAGTAGAATACTGTATTAAGTTGAATCTACCCCAAAATAATAGGCATTGCATTTCACTAAATATCACTTTAGTCTTTAGTGAAAGAAAGTTTAAAAAAAGAGCCAGACTTTATCAGTGTAGTAGCACTGAACATTTACACTGGAGTACGCACCATTATGCTGTTCATATTTTGTGATATTGTACCCTGGGTCATTAAGTGGAGTGAGATTGCTGCCTGCTGAGGTTAGCTCTTCTCTACATGTGGAAGAGAACTGCTCCAAGCGAGCTGCAGAAACAGAGCTGGATCTTTGGGATCTGATGTCTGTTTTCTCCATCCCACTGGAGGTGATTGTTTCCCCTCCAGGTATGAAAGAGAATTGCTTTGGTGGCTGCAGAAATGAGGCTCACATCTTTGGGATCTGACTTCCTTTTCTGCAGCTCTTCAGAGGATTTCCGCTCCTCTATGCATGGAGAGGAATGCCTGGGCTACTGAAACAGAGATCACATGGGGTCTGATCTCCATTAGTGCTCCCCTTTGGAGGAGTTCCCCTCCCTTTCAAATACCAGAGGATTGGGAAAGTTCCAAGCACCTATTTGTCTTCAATCAACTCTTCCTGTTTGACATAGCATCCAGTTAGTCCTTGACTCGCAACCACAGTTGAGCCCAAAATTTCTGTTGCAAACTGAGACAGTTGTTAAATGAATTTTTCCCCTTTATATGACATTTTTGCCACAGTTGTTAAGTGAATCACTGCAGTTGGTAAATTAGTAACATGGTTGTTAAGTGAATCTGGCTTCCCCATTGACTTTGCTTGCCAGAAGGTTGCCAAAGTCACATGACCCTGAGACACTGCAGCCGTCCTGAGTCGGTTATCAAGCATCTGAATTTTGATCACGTGACCACGGGGATGCACGTAAGTGTGAAAAGCGGTCATAAGTCACTTTTTTCAGTGCCATTGTAAGTTCAAACGGTCATTAAATGAACTGTTGAGGACTACCTATACAACATGATTCAGGAAAATGGTATCTGCAGTTCCAATTACAGAAAGCCCTCAGCTTATGTCCACTTGTTCAGTAAGCATTCTGTTACTATAGTGCTAAAAATATGGACATGCAACCAGTCCTGAAATTTCATCTATTGCAATGCCCCCACACCATGTGATTATGATCCAGGCATTTAAGTGTCTGGCTCATGATTATGTTGCTGGGAGCTGCATTCATATGATTGCCATTTGTGACTTTTCCTGTCAGCTTACAATAAGCAAAGACAATGAGGAACCTGTCAGGGAAGGTCACAAATTGCTCCGGCCCACAGCACCACACCTTACAGTCTCCAGCACCTCTCCCAGGCATTACTCTGTCTTGTGTGGCCTGCACTGGGCCTCCCAAGCCCTCCCCCGTCTCATGTGTAACCTGTGCTGGGCTTCCCTGATCCTCCCATACATCTCAGAGCTCCTTACCTGGACTCCCACCACTTAACAACCCACATATCTTGGGGTTATAAAAGCAACTAGAACTGCTAGGATTGCCCTCACTAAGTAATTCAGTCACACATCGTGCTTTACAATTGATTGCTTAGAATGGCAATCCTGGTCCCAATAGCCATCATAATTCTAGGACTATCTGTACTATTAGCTATAGCTTATCTGGCCTCTGGTGAAAGATGGGAATTTAATTATGGAACACAGGACACTTGATTCCCCAGCCCTGCATATGGATCTGAATACTGTGTTGAAGTGTGTATAATATGTGAATTAGATCTTGCTGATCCAATTAAGTATATAAATCAGCAAGCTATAGTACTAAGTCATGGTATGGCTTCTTGCATTCCCCAAATCAAAAGCAAGCACAACTTATTTTATGTCTTCTTGAAAACCAAGGAATGTTTTTTTGGTCACAAGACTCTTTTTTTTGTGCCCTATATTCTGTAGCCATGGGCTATAAGGTAAAACTATAATAACATCCGGCATCTTGGCATTCAAGATATGATTCTTTTACTTTCATAGGAATTCATTCATTAGAACATGTTAAGGTTTTCTAAAGATTTAACACATTTTTATTTCCTTCTGTCCCTATTAAACATTATGTCATTAATGGTTTGATGTCAGATTTGGGCAGCGTGGTTTTGGGAATGAGGCAATTCCTTGAAAACTGCAAGACAAGGTTGTGTGCGTGTGCGCACACGTGTTACCTATAGGTTGTCTGTTCCTGGCTTAACATTATGCATCAGTTTACCCTCTGCATGTCAAAATTATGTTGAAAAAGTCATTCTGTTCTGGATGAAGTAGAATGAGTATGCTTTGAAGATGGTCTGCCATTTTACAATGATAGTCTTAACACATGAAAGTGATGCTTCACTTTAGTACATTAAACACCGCAACTCTAAAAGAATTAAATTCTGAATAGATTTTAAAAAGTTCAATTATTAATATATTATTTGTATTTCTATTCCTAGGTAGATGAAATCATTAAGAAAAAAAATAAAACAGGGGAAACAGAAGAGAAGGAAATTGAAGAAACCAGGACAAAAAATAGACCAATTCCTTTGCATTGTGATATTATTGGAAATGAATTTTGGAAACACAATCCTGAAATCCTGCTTGATAAGAGGCTTTAGTCTGAACCTATTGGATATAATTTATTTTATAAGGACTGCATCATGGTGGAAAAAAATGTATTTCTGTACTTTGTAATAGCCGTTTTACTTCAGTGAATGAATGAAAAATCCAGGTATTGTTCATAAATAAATACTTTTTTATTAAAATTACGAGTAGGCTGATAACAATCTTAAACTTTACACTGGAAAAGGAATGCTTTTAATTTCTTCTCCGGCCCTCAAAAGGACTCTACTGCTGTAGGTCTCATGAGATGGTAAGTTGCCCATTTAAAACTCCGAAAACATTTAAACTACTCCTTCAAATTAAATTCTATCATCAGGGAGCCAAGTTACAAATTATCCTAGTTGCTAATGTCTCTGGATTATATGAGTGATAAACAAAATACCCTGGCAAGTAGCAGAAAGTAATTAGGAAGTTTTCTCTCAAGTGTAAATTAGTTCCGGCCTTTTTGAAAGCTATGGAAACATAATTTCCCTCTGTAATCGAACATTTATTATTTGGACTCTCTCCTTGCTGCTTTTTGGATTATTAGCCAAGGTCTCAGGTGGCCAACCAAGAGCAATAACGTTATTGTATAAGGGAGATAGCGCAGCAGGGTGTGTTTGCAGGTCATGCTCTCATTTTGCTGCTGCCTGGGAAACTATCCAGTTCCTGCTGTTGAGAATTGTGGCAACCAACTTACTGAAAGTCTTGAATTGGGATGTGAAGTTCAAAGAGTTGTGCTACTCTTCTGCTTTTTTGAAGGCCAAGCTGCCCAGGAGTGAAAAAGATAGAGGCATTGGGAGCAAATGTGAGTTTGATGTAAAAATTGGACTGGCTTCTAGTGGCTAGGTTTTTATATAGAACTTTTTAAGGGGATTTTTAATTGTTTGTTTTTATCTGTTAATTTTCTGTAAAAGGAAATTATTTGGAATGATAGGCATTTAGCATCATTTTAAAGCCATTTGAAAAAATTGTACTCATTTTTTCCTGAAATGGCAAGGTGTCTTCATTACTGTAGTTAAGATAACATTAAACGGGTAAAAAGAAACTGGAACAATGTGCATTCCAAAAATGGTGCATTCTTGTACCTGTGTCAGCAATCCACAATACTTGTAGTGAAGTTAATAGGAATAGGCAAAAGTATCTATCCAAGGTGGATTTTTGTGTTCCTGCTTTCCATAAGGTGTTCCAAGTTATTACCAGCAACAATAAAAAAGCAGCTGTGTTTTCATAACACACTGAAGCAAAAACAAGCTGACTACTTGTTAACCTAGTGCAGGGGTCGGCAATCCAAAACACTCAAAGAGCCACCAAAAACAAAACATTGGGAGCCGCAAAACCCTTTTGATATCTAAAATGAAGCTAACACTGCATATATCCTTTTTTTACCTTTATTCTAGGTATAGAGGTGTGTGTGTGTGTGTATAATAAAGGTAAAAAAGGATATATGCAGTATTATCTTAATTTTAGATGTCAAAAGAGTCTCTCTCTCTCTCCTCCTTCTCTCCCCCCCCCCTCTCTCTCCGATCTTCTGCTTACCTGGCAACCTGGCTTCAAGCTGTTTTCCAACAAGATCAGAGGTAGGCAACCTCGGCTCTTTTATGACTCATGGACTTCAACTCCCAGAATTCCTGAGTCAGCATAGCTGGGCTAGCTATCTCTCTCCTGTCCTTCCTGTTTCCTGCTTCCTGCAGAGACGCAGCAAAGGGAGGAGCTCCGTCCAGTAAGCTTTTCAGCCCCTCGGAGAACACCATGAGTCCACTCTCTTTTTCACACAGAAAGAGAGAGAGAGAAAGAAGGGAAGGGAAGGCAAGTGCCTCTGTCTCTGTCTCTCTCTGCAAATGGCAGAGGAGGCTGGGAGCCACAGGGGACGGCTCAAAGAGCCACATGCGGCTCCGGAGCCGCAGGTTGCAGACCTATGACCTAGTGCAATGAAGGCGAACCTTTTAGAGTGCCCAAACTGCAACCCAAAACCCACTTATGTATCACCGGGTGCCAGATGAGTGTGGCTATGGTAGTCATGGCTGACTGGGTGGGCGTGGCCACCTAGATGTTGCTCCTGGGATGCCTGTGGGGGCCGGGCAGTGTTGGGGGAGATCCAGGAGGTCTCTGGTGGGTGCAGCGGTGGGCAGAAGGCTTGTCCTGTAGAGTGAGGCAAGGCGAGGGAGGGGGCAGGGTGGGGGTGCCACTGCTGCAGGGCAAGGCGAGGCAAGGCAGGAGCTAGTTGCAGACAAAGGGGGGCTCCGGTGAGGAGAAGGAAGAGGGTTTAAACAAGCTTAGCAACCGGAGTGGGGATCCCCCCAAAAAACAAACGTGCTTCGTGGGTAACCTTGCAGTATGACAGAAGAGAGCAAAACCTGCTGCAACCACCCAGCAGATGGGAGTGGAATAAAAACCAAACAGCCCCCCTCCCAAATCCTCAACAGAAATGCTCATGATAATGAAAGCCTCGGGCAGAGGGAAGAACGTGGGCAGGTGGGCATCTTGCTCAGCTGATGGCTTGGGGGGGGGAGGGGGCAGCTACACCCCCTCCCAAATGCTGCCCTCTTATGAAAGCAGAATGAAAACTCCAAAAAGTGACAAGGAAAAATAGTTAAAACAGAAGAGTGTTTCAGAATACCTGTATTAGCAGATGCAACTGATATAAAATCTGGATGAAGAATGGTCAATAAGGCATTCTTGGTTGTCTATTTTATATTTCCTAATAAGCTGTAACCAACTTCCTCTCTTCACTTTGCAAAACCTATAAGTCCCACACCGTTCCACACACCTGCAAGAAAGCAGCTGCAATCGGAGTATTCTAACTGTAACTTTGAAATGTGGCACCACTGATTTAACTGCTGTCACACTACAAGTACAATTGGAGTTTACAGTACTGGTTTATCCAGCATGTGTTATTTATTTTATCTTTCTTCTTATACAAAACTACACCTTCTATACACAGAATGGAGAGTTATTGTTGGTTTCTTATCCAGTTTTAGTTTCCCTCTGCATCTGATTGGCCACTGGAGTAAATATTCACACAAAAAAAATCATCCTTCTTAGTTTATTTAATGCTCACACTCTTGCACAATCACTTCCTTGTTATCAGTTGATTGAATCACAACTTTGGACCCAACCTCTGAACATTTTAGGAATCAGCGTATTATATTATTTTCAGTAAATCTGGCCTAGCGTCTCCATTATTTTGGTTCCTACTGGACAATTCAACTAGTCCTTACGGTGTCCTTATCACTGTCAGCAGATGGCCTTCTTTCCTAAATGAATTAAAAATGACCTTTAATAAAGGCATAGCTCTGCAACTCTGAAAAATATCTACTGGCCTTTACTAATACACACATGCAAATGCTTCATACAAGATCAACAGCATACTAACATACAATTATTTTCTATTTCTTCATAGAATTGCATGAAACAAGAAGCAAACTGGAAAGACAAATGTAATAATTGATATTTAACCAGACTATTTTAACTACTGCACTTAAAGAGATCTTTGTCCAGCTCAAGTACTACTCACTACCCATGCAAGAGTTTGACAGCATTATCAAAATACTTGACATTGCTACCATCCACCTCCTCCCCCCCGCCCCCCCCCCCATCTAGCTACGCTACTTGGGCAGCAAACGATCCGGAAAATATTAGATGGCAGCAAAGAACCTTAGAAAACTGCCATCTAGTGGCCATTTGGTGCAATGCAGCCCAGCCATGACTGCTCAAGCCAACAGCCCTGAAATACCTCAACCAAACACTAACCAGGCCAGAATCTACTTCGCGTCTAAGTAGCGTAGCCTGGATTATCCTTGATTGTTCTACTGCACCCGGTGCTCAGCAGTTGTTGTTATAGCACAGTTTACAGTAGCCCTACTTTCTTTCTACTGATTTAGTGAATAAACTCAGTGGCTGGGCTCACAAAAGACGAACTCAAATGCAAACCAGTCACGGTCTGAACCCTTCCCAGCCAACTAAGTATCGAGCAGTCCGCAGCCTCAGGAAGGGAATGCAAAGAACGCAGTAACGTCTTGAGAACCGAGAGTTCCGCCATCCGTTCCTCAGATGAACGAAGGCGGACAATGGTCCTCCTTCCAGGCGACCGCCCACACCTCAAAAGCAGCCGGCTGAGCCAAAGCCAAGGGCGGCCTTCCGGGGGACCATCTCCGCGGGCGGGCGGGCGAGCTGACGGGAACGCAGTTCTCGCCGGCCTGCCTAGAGCATCAAGAGGCGCCGGGAAAGGCGGGAAGGGACCTGCCGTGCAATCGCGGGGCTGGGGCGGCCCACAGCGGCGAAGGAGCGCGCTGCGGGCAGCTCTTCCTGCCCCTCCCAGCAGGGCCGGGGCCAGGGCAAGAGCGGGAGAGACATGGAGGAGGAGGTGGAGAAGGCCGGGGCTGAGCCCAGGCGGCGGAGGAGCCGGCGCCACTCTAGCGGGCGTCGCAGCTCGGAGCGATCGCCGAGTCCCGGCCGGCTGGACGTGAGCTCGCCGCACTTCGACCCGCTGCTGGCGCTGTACTCGGAGCGCACCCCATTGCCTTACCCGGCCGCGCCCTGCTTCAACAATTTGGCCGAGTACGAGAGCTTCCAGCGAGGCCTGCACCACGCCCCGGGTCGCCCGCGAGCAACCGCTGGCCGCAGCAGCCGCTCCGCCGGGACGCGTGCTCGGAGCCGGGCCGGTCGGGCCGCCGCCGACCCCGAACGCCTACAGCGGCTCCGCAACCTCATGCTGGTCAAGGAACCCACGCCAGAAGCGGCGGAGAGAGCGAGGGCGCGGGGCAGGAGGGCGCCGCGCAACGTCCTCACCAAGATGCCCCGTAAGCTGAGCGGCGTTTAGCGCAACGTCTCCTTTCAGACGCAATGCCACGATTCCTCACCCTCCCACCCCAAATATCTGCCCGAAGGGCACGCACTCTGCTCGTGTCAGAGTCTGGTTATTGGCAAGCAGTTCGGGGGTTGGGTGCCGCATGTGAGATCTGGCAGTCCCCGCAGTTTGTGCATATGGACGAGCTGTGAAGTCTAGAATATACTGCTGCATGTTGGCTTTGATCCGGCGTCCGCCGCGGGGGCGACTCTGCGTCTGGGCATTGGGCACAGATAGGCACGAATGTAAAACCCCAATGGGTGCAAAACAAGCTTGTCTAAAGAGAGAGGGTTCTCTAAAAATAATATTTTACGTTCCCCAAAACCATTTTTTTAAACAGTTCTCGTAATCCTATTTTCCAGCTGTAATTGATTTAAGTTAAGAGTAGGTGCTAAAGAGAGTGAAAAAAGTGAGAATGCAGAACTATGGGTGTTGGCCTATTTTGAAGGTAGGTAGTACGAAAGGAGTCCTGGCAAGCCATTTTGCAGCTAGAGTAGGTGGATGTGTCGCACACCACACCAATTATAAACTAGCTGCCTACATTTACCTTTAGCATGTTGTGTGAATTGAGCCTATGTGCCTAGTTATTTATTTAGTGTGAAGCGACAATATGGGATCAATTATTAAACCATAATTAGGCTGACTTTAAATACTGTATGTGGGTCACAATTAGCCAGCAAATGTGATCCAAGGAAACACCTGGTTAAAGAGTTTGAAAATTTGGGGGGAGTGAGAGAAGGTCCTGGTCGTGGGTGCTTTGATCTTTCAGGAAAGAAAGGCATTGGGGAGTTTGCTTTAGTGATTAAGGCACCAGGCTAGAAACCCCGAAATTGTGAGTTCTAGTTCTGCCTTAGGCATGAAAGTCAGTTGGATGCCTTTGGGCCAATTACTCTCTTTCAGCCCAACCCACCTCATACGGTTGTAAGGAAAATAAGAGAAGGAAGGAGCATTAGATATATTTGTTGCCTTGAGTCATTTATAAAAAATAATAAAAGCAGGATAAAAATGAATAAAAATACTGAATGTAATCAGATTTTCTGCATTTGTCAATGAAGCATAATGAAAGAAAGATGCCCAGATATGTTTTGGAGACCAGACTGTTCCATCTTCTGAGGTACAAGAGGTCAGAAGGTCCTTATAGATTCATCCTCTGCTGTAGCAAAGCAGGATTGAATGTGGGCAGTGCCTTGAAGAGAGTGTTTGCGACCCTGTAAATGCTATTTGGATAAATAAGAGAAGATGTACATCTATTAAATGAAAAGTTGAGATTACTTTCACCATGGGACCCAGAGCTTTAATAGATTGAAAGCCACATTTACTGGACTGCTTGAAAATTGATTAAAGAGATGATCATAATTGGCCAATGAATTTTTTTTTCCTGATGAAATAACAATAGGAAAAGGGAGAGAACTGTCCAAGGTATTTTTGGGGGAAAGCACCAAAATATCGCTGATATTCTTAAGTATAAGGAATTGATGTAGAACGGCTTGGAACTATTTCTGGTAATAGAATTATAGTTGGTGGAAAATAAAGAATCTGAAGTTTCTATTGGCTTAGATGCTCTGGATGCTGTTAAGTATTCCTGTTTAGATGAGATTGAGAGTAGCTTCAAGATAAAAGCCCTACTATGGGTCCAGCATGAAGTAAATACAAACTTGCCTATATTTTCTCCAACATGTTGTGCACACATATCAAATAACTTTCAAAAACACATTTAGAATGTAAGGCATGTATTAACTTTTATTCTGCATTCCAAAAGAACGTTCAAAGGTTGTGCTGAGGAGGTCTGGCTATTAGTAGTTAATACTAACAGCATGCAAGACATTTTGGATTTTAAACATTTTAGATTTGAAATAATATCTTAAGTTCAAAATAGTTATTCTAATCTTACTTGGAAGTGTTCTTATGTTGTACTGATCATTCTGTAAGGTTGTAACCTCTCATTTAAAAATTATTCTGTCCAGTATAATTCAAAATGTTTCGCAGCCTCCTAATTGAGTCTGTCATTTGCAGGAACTTGCTTCCCCCCCCCCTTCCAAAGCTTATTCTTTCAGGTTTGAATTAAGATGACTAGACTTGGAGAAAAAGCTGTAAGCAGCATTTTGAAAGCCTAGAACTTGACATTGTCTTTTGTAGCAGTTGTAGCAATAATTAGGTTGTTATGATCTTAGTTCTTAAGCTTTATTCCAGACTTATAAATATAATGCAGAAGTTATGATAATAGAATAATAGGCAAACCTCTATGTTAATGTCTGTTATTTGTTTTGAGATCATATATTAAATCTTTTCATCATTTTCCCATTACTTTCAGAGAGATCATACAGTAGTTTCCCAGCTATGATCTGAAAGCCCTGTACTAGAAGTGAAAAGAGTGATACAAATTGAATATATCAAACTAATATTTTAGTACATATACATACACACACACACACACACACACACACACACACACACATTTGCTTCCTATCATGAAAAAATACGTAATTACTAGAGATTGGAATTAAATGTCAACCAAATAATTGCAGCTGTCTATCACATTAGAAGAGAAAGAGGTTAACTTCTTTGGGTTGTGCTTTCCGATCGATGCAAGGTGATAATACAAAAAATAAAAGGATTTATCATGTACTTCTCATCTGGCTCATAAAGTATAGAAGCTTTTAACTTTATTGAGCTCACTTCAATGAATCTTCCAAGGGATTCCAGATTCCAAAAGCCATGGAAGTAGCATAGTGCAGTGTGGAAATTTGCAGTGAAGTGGCAAAATTACATATTGTTAAGTGTGCCTAAATTACCTTGTGCACTCCTCTCCAACCTGGCCATCCCCCAGATGGGTTGATTTCAACTATAGACTTCCTCAGACAGCCTACACTTTGTTGCAAATAGTCACAATCTCCTAAATCAACAGTACAAGATGTATCTAGGTAGTGGAAGGATGTTTAAATGATAGGAAGCTGGGGGGAAAGAAGAATTTTGGACTGGCTTGGAGGATCTGCAGTTTACCTATATCTTAAGATGATTCCTCTCCAAAAAAAAAAGCTGTTGCCAATGATTAGAACCATTCCTGGATATTTCTTCCTTCCCAGTATCTGTGTGTGTGTGATACACTTACAGAATCCATACAAAAAAGAGTAAGTCCAGGACTGGAAACTCTATACTAGATAATTCAGTATTCTTTTAATGCTAACATGATCCTTTTATGTTATCCAGAGAGATGACTGCTATATTTATTTGTCACTTATAATAAATTATGAGATATAGAAGACTAATCATTGGCAAGATTAGAATTTAGACTGTATTGATTGTTGTTTGGTTACTGACATGATTATCAACCAGAAATATTAACTGCTGCATAGTGACAAGCTTTTTAATAATCCTTTAGAATTGGGATATTAAGCATACGTACTGTGCTAAAGATCCATTTCACCACTACTGCATATTCATTTACATGCCCATAAACTCTGTATGATTAATTATAAGTCTTCAGTGCCTAAAGCCAGAGAAAAATAAATTCCATGACATTAAGAATAACACTCGGTAATGTTTGGAGAACTATTAAACAGTATTTGGTTAAATGATTCTCATGGAATAAAAATGTGCTATTCTTTTTGTTTTAGAGGGGTGTAAAATCAAAGAACCGTGTCAGTTAATGCTTAATAAGAACGTAGATGGAACATTTGGGAATTTTCAGATGTACAGTTCTGAATAATACAAGGCAAAATTGCCTTGCAGGTATTCTCTTTTATGCCTTGTGGACAGAAGTATAATTCAAATAATAATAGCAATAATAGCTGCAAACTGTGTGTTCTACAGCAAATGATGGTTGTTATCTTTCTTTCCAGTTCATGAAGGCAGTCCACTTGGGGAACTCCACCGCTGTGTCCGTGATGGTGTCAAGGTCAATGTGCATATCCGGACTTTCAAGGGGCTTCGTGGTGTCTGCACTGGATTCTTGGTGGCATTTGACAAGTTCTGGAATATGGTAATCATGGACATTTCCCTTCTGTGCTTTTTTCCTAGCATTTATTTGACGGCTTCAGACCACCCACCCATGTGAATGTAGGTAGTTAGGAGAGCAACCAGGACTTTGGGGGTGTGGCATTTCCGATGCAAGAAAATGTCAAAAGAATTTGGGATTTGTGTTTCCTCTTTTAAGTGTATGGAATTACTGTTAAATGTAAATGGGCTTATTCTCATAATGAAATAAAAATTCTGGGTGAGCAAAGTGGACATTCCATTGCTTTCATAATATCTCAGTCAGACAATGAGAACAAATGTCAGATCATTGCTTTATGTTGATATCCTTCTGATTTCTGTCATCTTTCTCCACCATGACTCCAAATTTTATGTTAAGGAGATCCTATATGTTTTAAGTCTTTCTGCCTATTTGCCTTGCCCCAGGCCCTGACTGATGTAGACGAGACATACCGAAAACCAGTGCTGGGTAAAGCTTTCTATGTGGAGCCACAGTTGACCCTCACCAGAGTAAGTTCCATTCTCCACAATATCACATATGTTTCAAAAAGATATGGCCCCTTCCTGCCTTTCTTTACCTTATAAAAGTTGGATTACACTGCTAGCAAAGAAGAAGGAAGGTTATTTCTTCTTTTAATAATTGGCAGAGATGTAGCCCAAAACAATCGTTGGGGAGTTTAAGTGTGTTCAGAGTTTAGTTTCTTGCTCTCCAGTGGTTTGATTCAGTGGCTCTTATTTTATTTTTGTTTGTGTTTATTACTAAATGTTTGTATCAGTCACCAGAAACTCATAATGATTTAAAACTGATTTCTAGATTCGTCAGAGTTACAGTCATCTCCCAATGCTGTAGAAACTAATCTTCGGTCTACTCAAATAATCAGAATTTACAGAATGTCTGTATAGCAGGACTTGGGAACACAACTGGCTAGCGGAGGCACTGTGGCTTTCTTTACGAGGTTGTGGGCTTCTCATGGACACTTGGGTCTGTTACTGTAGAACACAATGCTGGACTAGATAGGCTTAAACTTGATCCAATGAGGATGATCTTACATGCTAGTTTTTCTCTTCCATTTTTCTTTATATTCCTTCATCAATACATTTGATCCATATTGAGGATGAAGATTGGCCTAATCATCAAAAGTCCACAAAGTTTGGATTGGCTAACTACCAGATCATTAACCAGGATTGCTCCTAAGATCATCCTTCCCTAAGAGGGTAAAGTTAGGAAAGGCTGGGCCTTTGATCTTGTTTTGGGCTTTTTGCAGAATGCAAATAGCAGCTTGTTTCTATTGCCTTCTGCCAAGTGTTAGGAGAAGTAAGAATTGCCACCTGTCCTTTCATTCCAGATGTTCCATGGAGTGGGGGAAAGGAGAACATTTCTCATTCCTCTCATTGGTCTGTTGTGGGAGCTGTCCTAGATAAAAGGCTTTTGAGGCTTTTTATGGCATATTTTTCACCTACCAAGTGAACCAGCTCTCCTTCCTTTTTCACTGAACTTTATTGCCCTGAGAAAGTGGATGAGAGTTTCTCTGCTGTTTGAGAGACAGGAAACTAGTAGTGAACGGATATAGGAATTTAAAAGAACTTGTTGTCATCAAGTTATGGTGAAGACCTAAGATGTTGTGGAGACCTTAAACAGTGATAGAATTGGTTTAACTACACAACTACAGTGCAGAAGAGTGCATATTTTCTATGTACATAAATACAGATAGGGAAACAAAAAGATGTTTGTGTGTGTGTGTGTCTTTGTTCTTAGGCAAAGTTCTTTTTTAAAAAAAATATTGAACAATCCTTGGTATGGGTTTTCTAGTAACTGATTAATGTCTGTTGAAGACTTCATAACAGTTAGTCCTACTGCACATGCATAAAAGAATGCATTTGGGGTGTGTGCACTTTGTATGCAATTTGGAAGGATTAGTCTGCTGCTAACCTGCTTGCTACACATTCAGGACATGCTGAAATACAGAGCTCCAAGGACAAAAAAAATATCTTAGTGTAAATAGGGGGTCTGTTGAGCAAACTAGGTTTATTATCTTCTCGAGCAGACATGTCAAACTCGCAATGTCACGTGACGTCACACAGTGTATCGGAGCTTTTTCCCCATTGCCGGCAATGGGATGGGCACGGTTTCCTCATGATGCGTCCGGCCTGCGGGCTGGCAGTTTGACACCCCTGTACTAGAGCAATGCTTCTCAACCTTGACAACTTGAAGATGTGTGGACTTCAACTCCCAGAATTCCTCAGGCAGCATGCTCTAGAGCAGGGATGTCCAACTCGCAACGTCATATGATGTGTTGCGATGTATCGCGACTTTTTTGCCATTGCCGGCAATGGGGTGGGTGCGGTTTCGCTATGATGCATCTGCCCCAAAGGCAGTTTGACACCCCTGCTCTAGAGGTAGGCCCGCTATTAATACTAATCGTATTCTTTGTGCAGCTGTGCTGTACAGATTTTTATCCGTTTGTGTATTATTTCAGCATGTGAATGGCTTTATCCTGAGTGCTCACTAACACCATCCTTGGCAAGCTCTATTTATTTAAATAGTTGATGGATATTGGAAGCTGGGAGTGAAGATTGAATGTGCGTATAAGTACAAAACCGAAAGCTTTTAAATAAAAACAATCAGGGAGTTCACACATGCACCATTCTTTGACTTACAAACATGTTTTAATTGGACAAAAGAGCAAGGGCTTCTCATTTAAAAAGATTAGTTTCCTGTGTTTATCCATGGTTTGAACAGGTCGGTCAGAATATAAAATACTCTGTGTCATCTCTTATGACTTCTGAATTTATTTCCAATGTTTCTCTGTAGCTCTTTGACAGACTGAAGTTACAGGAGTCCTTGGTTAAAAAAGAAGCCGACTTAAAGATGACTACGGATTTGCCAGCCCTTCCATATGACCCAAGGACATCAAGGAGGAAATCTGAGTCAGGTAGGGGAAGATCAGAGGAGAAACATGGAGCAAAGAAGCACGCCAGCAGAGAGAGGACACGAAGCTCTAGTTTGCCGAAAGTCTCTGGGAGAGACACAGATTTGCCCAGCAGAATCTCCCAAGTAGAGAAGAGCCCAGGTGGCAAAAGGGGCCGTTCCCGAAAAAGGCAGAGGTCCAAAGTGGATTATCAGCAAGTGTTTACAAGACACATAAACCAGATTTTCATTCGAGGAGAAAATGTCCTGCTTGTTCACTTGGCACATTGATCTCATTGACTGATTTCAGCCATAGCAGCTCAGTGGTGAAAAGAAACAGTATTTTAATTCTTTTTTCCTTTTGGCCAAAAGAGAGAAAGGATTATAGACCTAGAGACTTGAGCCAATGGTCTATTTGAGTGGACTGGAATTGATCTACAGCTGATGCCCTAAACCTTGGGAGATACACAAGCTGTGTGGCTTTCAAAATTGTACTGCTTGGATATGGAGCGACTTTCATTATACAGTAAATATTTAAAATCTGCAGCATATACAGCTGGCTAAGTAGGTCTGGAAAAGGCACGTGGTCGTGGCATTGATACTTCCATGAGAAATGTGAACTGAGTTAAGGGACAGAATGCTGAAAGCTTGTGAAAAGTTGCTGCAGCTGTAGGAATTAGCTTGCTTGAAGCCATCTCCCCCTTCTCCATACACTATGCACGGGGGAGGGGCAAAGGACTGGTCCAGCTTTGCATTGCAGGCCCTTAAGAAGTCCTATTATCAGAAGATGAATGGAAAGAAAAGAGTTTGCATTGCATCTACTGTAATTTGAAAAAACTTTCCTCAGCAGTTCATCTTTTTTTTTCTTTTTTGGTGACTGAAAGAAGTGTTTGACCTTTTGTTTGGTATTTATAAAAACGGGGCCTTCCACCCAATTTTCTCTATTTGTTTTCCTACTCATTTCTACCTGCAAACAATATGTGTGGCTTCCCTCGTTTGAGCTTGTTTCAGTGTATTTTTCAACAATCCAGAAATGATAGCTGTTTTTCCATCCGTTTTTGTGTCTTAACAATAAAGACTAAGATATACATATGCAGCTTAAAAAAGGAAATATTCAATGTATGCTTGGTGTTGCTATGTACTATCTGGTGGCTTTTGGAATCCGATTTCCCAGCAATTTTTAGTAACTACAGAAAATATCTACTTGCAATATCCACTAGGATTTTTCCAATTCTTTTCTTGGCTCTCAGTGATCCTTTTCAGATGCTGCTTGTTCTTGAGAAGCATGTTTAAAACTGCTGAAAAGAATGCATGATGATTTTTCCCCAAAATGGTGCTATTTGCAGCACCTCTGTATCCTTCAGCATCTGTCAGAATGGTGCAAATGTAACAATGCATGTCCATGAAAATGTTTAGGGCACTATAAAATAGCACCTGTGTTATAGGGAATGGGTTGAACATATCAGTAGCTAGAGCAGATTTCCTTTAGTAGGAGAAATGCCATGAGGTCTTTTACAATTTTATTAAAATTGAATTCCAAAGCATCTATAAAAGCATAATTAATATAATACATTTGGTTAGTCATTCTGCATTTCTAAAATAACTGGAAAACCTAATGACTGAGTTTTATTAAGCAAAGGTCAGTTGTGATATATTTTTGTCTGAATGGCAAAACCAACTGTAATTTGCCTAATATTCTCCAAAGGGTATAAAAATCAAGCATTTAGGAGAGGGAGAAATCTTATCATCAGATTTTTTTAACAGATATTTTGGAGTATCAGAAGGATATTGGAAGGCATGCAGCTTTGTTGTTGCATGTGATGCTCATTTTGGAAGTAAAACAGGCAATAAAAGAAAACCTCATTGCTTCTTCTAAACACTTTCCTAGGGTGACTAAAGGTTTTGCCATCATTCCACCAACAACTAATGGAAAACCAATTTTCTTTTGGGATGCTGGAACCCTGAACTGCATAATAATTACACAAAACAGGTACACCTGAGAAAGACATTTTCCTGACTCAGATCAAGCCCATCCCTTTTGGAGCCCACAAAAAAGATAAAAATAATCATGAAAGGCAATCTTCAATGCAAATGCATGAGGAGAAAGTTGAGTGGCTCTCATTCTCAAGTTTTATTTTAAATTAGGATAAAGTGTGACAAGGTGCATAACAATTAATTTTCTCCAGTGATGAATGAGTCAAAACATCAAATTTTATGTCATCAGCGTAATCCGGTGCACGGTAGTAAATATGGTAATAGTCAAGGGAAGGAGCTAGGAAGCAATATGTCTAGGATGCAAGCAAATTTGTGTGTAATTGTATTTCTTTTAACAAAAATGGGAATGATATATGCAAAATGTGGGTCTTCCATAGTATCTTCTTTGCTATTCTATGTTGTTGTTTTTTAAAAAAAGAATGTCAGTACATGTTTTGATGTGAGATAGCTTCAGTTTCTTGCAGCAATCTCTAGTGGCCCTTTCTGATTTTCTCCAGCCTCTTTGTAATGTATAACATCGTAAGGTTCTTTCCACAGTAGTCTTCTCTGGTGCCTTTAGATATATTTCTTATGACTTGCATCTAGATTGCACCTAGTTAGAGTAGGCTCACAAGTGTCCAGGAGAAGCTGCAGTGATATCATGTGCAACATTACATCATCTACTCCCCGTGCACTCTCTATTGTAAGAGTCTTATGGCTGGGTTCAAAGTGTTTGATACCAATTTTGACTTCCTTTGGATGACCACAAAATTTTGAGTGTTCTTTAACTCACTTGATTCATGGCTGTCTCTTATTTTTTTAAAATCCCATTTTTTCCTTCTTTTTTGAATGTTATTGCCATATTCATTCTGGAATTTTGTACTGATTTATGTGCTTCAGTAATAGGGTCAAAAACTACTAGTAGAATTGATTATTTAAATTTAGTTGTGTGGTTTTCCATTAATGATCCATTTCCATGCTTGAACAGACTGCATGTGTATTAAGTACAATGCATTCTCTCTTTTTCTTTCTTTTTCCAGATCAAAAGCTGAATATATACTTCAGTGTTTTGATTCACTTTATTTGTTTGATTCGTTCTCAGATTTTTATTGTGATAGCGTTTAAAAAAAAAACCCCTAAGTTTAATATCTTACCTAGTTTTTTTGTTTCTGTGTAATGAAAGCCAAACTTTCTGGGTACATCCATATTTGTAAAATAGAATACTGTGTGTACATTGGTTTTATATGTATCACTATCGTTTATGTTTTTTGTCTTCTACAATATTCTGTCAGAAATTTCTTGACAGAGTCGTGTTCCCTTATAGTGGAACTTAATTTCAAAAGATCAGAATATCTCTCTGACTTTCCTTTGCTGCTTTTTCTTCATGTAGTTTCTAAAGTGCCATTACTGAAGTAGAAGTAATCCAGGATTCATCTCATTCCTTAACCTTTGTTTCTGCATAAACACTATATATCACTAATATTTCTAAGTCATCCTTATTTTTAAATCATATAAATCTTAAATAGCTTGTTGGCAGTTTTACTTGAAAACTTCTAGGTGCTAAGCTTAATTTCCAAGGTGTTACTTTTCATACGCTAAGTATAAACTGTATTTGGAAACAGCCTGTCTTCCTTTATGCCCTCGATCCATAGCAACTTAACCCAGGATGACTTAATTCATTTCTGCAGAAAAGTCTTTGCCAGAATGGAACATGTACTACCAAAATATAGTTTTAAAAAAATATTTAAAAGCTACCAAGGCATAGTTTAATACCCAGTAGAGATACTGTATGCAAAAAAAAAAAAAAACTTGAAAAAGGAAGTTTGAGACTAGAGGCCATGCAAATACCATGGGTGGATTACTTAGCTGTGAGAAGGATTAATATTTTGATTGCTTTATTGGAAAGTGCATAACCTATGAGTGGATAAATTGACAACAATGGTTTATCCTCAGTTCGACCAAAAAAGAAAAGGTAAGCAAAACTAAAATAGAAAAGAAACCTACCTTCAGATGTGTTAGTCAAACTGGGTCTCGTCCTATTCTGTGCATTTCAGTTGAAGAAAAATCTATGGAGACAATCTTAAAACTCAAATTGTCTGTTGGCAAAAACAGAAGTTCCATTTGGACAGTGTTTAAAAATGCTTCTCTGTGACCACGTATTATTTGTTAAGTCTATCATTGTGAACTGGATAATGTGTGATTTGTTCAGCTGTTTACAGGATTTGTACATCAGTGATATGAAATAAGTTGTGGAGGACAGTTATAAAATGACAGTTGCTTCTACTGTTCTTCTCCCTCCCTCCCCCCACTCCTCCTCCTCCTCCTCCTCCTTCCATTGTCTGTTCACAGAAGCTACATTTAACCTCTGCCATACTATGCAACTATTCCCTTTTATGAAGATATGAAAAGCTGGTCATCCTATGTAACAGCAGACATTGGCTCTCATTGGATAGGATATTTGGACATTAATATGAAGTGTGTCTGTTACTAGCACATCTTAAAACAACCTTCTTCTCTTGAGGATTTTCTGTCATGTTGAGATCCGAACCTTTGGTCAACAGTGCAAAGATGAATATTTACAACTTTGTTGATAATAGTTTATTGTGTGTCAGTCAACAATTCATTTCTCACTTCACATGGCTCATGCTGTTAAAGATTTCATTTCTGGTTTCACAGAAACCCTATTGGGGCTGAAGATGAATAGAATTTAATTTTTGTTCAGCAAGAGAAATAAATACCCTAGTGCCTTGCTGAAGCTATTCCACAAAGTGAATGACAGAAGTCTAGTTTGGTGAAGACTTAAGTCTAAAAAACTTGTTTTTCACTAATCCATGCAAATGTTTCAAGAGAATCTTAAAAGACCGGCTCCTTGGCTGACAAGACATGAAGCCTGTCACAAAAGACAGGAAAGAAATGCCATGTCTGACTTTTGATTTCACTGTTTCAGGGTAAAAGTGCAGGTACATCATGCACATTTTCTCCTTGAGAACTCCCTGTGAATAGGACCTGCTTATCCCGCTGCTATTGTGGCCATTAGAAACGGCAAACCTTTGTGCTGATGGTTCATGCACATCCTCAATTTCAAAGCCTGATGTTAGAGAAATGAATCATTGACCTGACACAGTTCTAACTAATTTTGTTCTTGCAGTTCCTCCCTTGAATCTTGGGAACTCTGGTTTGTAGCAATGCAGTGCAATTTGAAATACAGTTCCCATAGTCCTTGGCTTGAGATCTGGCTCTGAATCCTTCCACATTTGTAATGCACAGGACTTGGTTTTCTTTCTCTGCTTGTTCTTTTAGTTTCTTCAGACATTTTTGTCAAGTGAGAGAGTGTTGGCACATCTGAAGGACACGTGCCACGTTCAGTGTAAACTCAAGACAGAACCTGCACAGTGCAAACGCCCCCAACCTTCCAACTTTGGTTTTAATAGTTGGGAAAAGTTAACAACTAACCTACCTGTGCTATATCAGCAAGGGAAAAGCGCCACTCAGCTGCAAGTCTGTGCTTTGCCCCGCAAATAAATTGTTAAAAGAATGTGCAAATGGCCTCTAGTCTCTTTTCCTAAGGACTGTATTTCCAAGAAGGAATTGTTGCTTGAATCCCTGCAATGTATGTACATGTATGTGTCTTTAAAAAACAAAATGCTTGAGGATGTTAAGCATCTGTATCAGGAGTTCAATCTCTGAGGCAATAAATGTCTGACTGTAATTATAAGCTGTGCCAGAGTCATTTTTTTTATAGAACCATTTTTAGCGATACTTCATTTTTTCATCTTAACTTTCTCTACTGACAAATGTAGACAGTAATATATTTGTAATAACACACAGGTAGTCCTCGACTTTAAACCACAACTGAGCCCAAAATTTCTGTTGCCACAGTTGTTGAGTGAATCACGGCAATTAAGTTAGTAACATGGTTGTTAAGTGAATCTGGCTTCCCCATTGACTTGTCAGAAGGTCGCAAAAGTGATCACATGACCCTGGGACACTGCAACCGTCATAAGTACATGTCAGTTGCCAAGCATCTGAATTTCGATTCCGTGATTATGGGGATGCTGCAACACGGTTGTGTGTAAAACTGTCATACACCACTTCTGGGGGCAGTTTGTTCCACTGGTTAATTGTTCTGTCAGGAAATTTCTCCTTAGTTCTAGGTTGCTTCTCTCCTTGGTTAGTTTCCATCCTTTGCTTCTTGTCCTGCCCAGGTGTTTTGGAGAATAGCCTGACTCCCTCTTCTTTGTGGCAGCCCCTGAGATATTGGAACACTGCTAACATGTCCCCCCTCATCCTTTGTTCAACAGCTCAGTCGTTTGCAAACATTTTGCCATTTTTAAGGGGAGAGAGAGAGAGAGAGAAAGAGAGAGAGAGAGATCTTGCTATCGGGTGGGAAATTAAGAGATCTCATGGAAGTTCAGTGGAAGGACTGCATCGGTGGTAGGAAAGAAATGGGGCCTGCAGTCCTGATCTGAAGATATGCCAAGAGAACGGAAACTAACAACCTGAATTTTTTAAGAGGTTTGTGCAAGAAGGAAACCAAAAGACAGAGACAGCATAGTTCTTATCACTACCAGTTGGGAGGTAACAAAGTCTGGATCTATAACCAAACCTGAGGAGAGGGAGGAAAACCTTTGCTTTTCTTTTGCTGACCCTGGGTGGAAAGAAACTTTTCTATGAATTCCCATTTTTTGTTTAGAATATTTTGATTTGAGCACAGCTAAGAAAATTGGCTTTCTATTTCATCACTAGTAGTACTGTTAATAACGAGCATTTTAAGTCTGATCATAAGATAAAGAGATTGACAAGGAATCTTGACAAGCAAATCTTGAAATTGTGAGAGCCTTTTCTTTTTGCATATTAACAAGCCACCCAATATTTTTAATATTTGGGGGGGGGGGTAATACTGACTTTATCTGTAAACTTTTGCTGAATTTGGGGGTAGTTATTTCACTGCTGTATGAAAGACATACTGGCATGCTAGCTTTTCATAAATTAGATTTTCAACAGTTTATTCCATGTTTATGATTTTTACCCAAATGCACAAATGGCCCTTTTACTTGCTCAGTAATACATGTATTTTGTTTCTCTGCGTTAAATACTAGGCTTAATCCAGGTGAAATTACTTGGGTTGAAATACCTTGAAGGGAGAAAATGGGCATCGTTACTTTTGCAGTTAAACAAAGTTATATCAAGGCTTTGATTTGTATCGGTTACTGCAAATTTATATTTCCCAATAATCAGCTCATATTGCTGAATTTTTCTTGTCTTGAATGCAGTACCTTGTTATGGCCGCCCAGAGTAGTCAGTGCTGAAAAGTTCACATCGTTCATAGGTTCATAGCAAATGATCATTCATTAGAAATCTGAGATATTCTCCCAAAGGGACAATCCCCCCCCCCTCCACCCCAAATCAGAGGTTTTCAGCTCCACCCATTCCTCCAAGCTCACTTCAGCCTGCTTAACCTATTTTAACAGCTCTGGAACAATTTGCCATTTGGTTGATATTTCAATGCCCCGTTCAATTTTTGGCACTTTTATTCTTGGCATGCTTCTTGATTAAGCGTATTACGGCCAAGCATGGTCCTTTCAATAAGAAGGGTTTTTTTGTTTTAATATAGAGTCAATCTTTAGTCATCGGACAAGATGAGAGAGAGCAAGAATAAGTTAGAGAGAGAGAGAAAAAAAACTTAGAAGTTGCTTGCAGAAAGAAAACAAGCTAGCAAGTTGAGGCAAAGGATTCCTTGTTTCTGCCACATTAAACAAGGCAGGGAAGTTTCCTTATTTTTACCTATAGGAAGGCTAGGAAATTAGTGCTGAAGGGAGGAGGGGAGTCTCACAACAGAGGACCCTGTGCCTTGATTTTCCCAGCTAGGCAATTGCTTCGTTCTGTCTTCTTGCACGTTGGAAACCCAGCGGCCCTGAAGGCCAGTCACAGGAGCCATGCAAAGCATTCAAGGACAACAGACTTAGGCTGTCGCTACTGTAATCAACTGAGGTCAGTAACCCAAACTGGCTTAGTGCAGTGTTTCCCAAACTTGACAATTTTAAGGCATGTGGACTTCAACTCCCAGAATTCCACAGCCAGCATTGCTGGCTGTGGAATTCTGGGAGTTGAAGTCCTCATGCCTTAAAATTGTCAAGTTAGGGAAACACTGGCTTAGTGAATGCATATCTCTCATCACTTCACAGGGCTGTTGTGAGGCAAATAGGAGGAGGATATATTTGCTGCCTAGAATTACTTGTACAAATATTAAAGGTGGGATACAAAATACATAAATAAATATGGAATTAACATATGTACATGTTTGGCTGCGGGTTTTGTTGTTGCTGTTGTTGGGGGGCGGGGCTAGAAAATGCACTTCTCTGTTGGACAAAGGGCTTCCTTCCAAACATTCGTCTCTGCAAGCGGTTTCCGTGACAAACCTGCTTGTAATCTCCAGGCCTGTCCACTAGATGGCAGTAGCGTAAAGCAAGTCTGTGTTCCGCTCCCCCGACGAGGTTGGGGTCCACCACTTCGGAGTCAGCCGAGTTAGAAGATCACCGAAGTGGGAGGGGAGGGGAAGAGTTGAGTGTGAGTTAATGCGAGTTGTTGCTCCGGCCAAAAGTCCGAGCGAAATCGAAAGTGCAAACCTTTTGGGAATGCTAGTTTTTCCTGCTTCCTTTGGAGCAGGTGGCTTAAAAACACATATAATTGAATTAGCGTTGAATGCTTTTAGCAGGGGCGTCCTTTCATTTCATAGCCCGAAGTGCTTCATCGGAAAATCTTTTAACGGGATCTAAAAGGGTGCCCATTGTTTTCAAGTAATTAGGGCAATTACTAATTAGAAGGGATCTTTTGTAAACATTTCAAAGAGAGCTGCAGAATGTCGGATTTAAAGCACAAGGTTGGAAATATTGGTGCATGTTTTCTCCTGGCTCCTGTTTTGTGTTTTTGTATGTGTGTGTTTTCATTCGGTTCTTATAATCTAGTTTTTCTTTATTGCTACTTGACTTCTAAAACTTGCATCCAGAAGCAAGAAAAAAAAAAGGCTGACCTGCTGCTCACAGCATTGCACCTGCTGGATAAACTCGTTACTGCTTTGGTTGTGTGTGATGTTTGTGCAACATTTCAAGTAACTCTTTTTGTCTCCTTGCACCCAGGGGTAGGCAACCTTGGCTTTTTTATGACTCGTGGACTTCAACTCCCAGAATTCCTGAGCCAGCTTGGCTGGCTCAGGAATTCTGGGAGTTGAAGTCCACGAGTCATAAAAAAGCCAAGGTTGCCTAATGGCTAATATAGGTAGACTTTGACTTATCACTGTTCGTTTAGCGACCGTCACTGAAAAAAGTGACTTACAACTGGTCCCTGCACTTAACGGTTGCAGCATCTTCATGGTCACAAATTTGGGTGCTTGGCAACCTGCCTATATTTACTATGATTGGGGCATCCTGGGGTCATCTGCAACCCTCCCAGTTGGCTTCGGACAAGCAGAGTCGACGGGGGAAGCCAGATTCTCTTAACGCCACGGTTCATTTAAACAATTGCAGTGATTCGCTTAACAACCATGGCAAAAAGGTCATAAAATTGGGTGCAACTCACTTAACAACTGGCCTGCCTAGCAACGGAAATTCTGGTCCTGATTGTGGTCGAAAATCGAGGAGTACTTGTACACAAACTTAAGTTCATGATGTGGAGTGTGTCATGAGTGAACTCTTAAGTGTGAGATAGTGTCACTCCGGTAGGTACATAAGGAAGTCTGCATCTTGGTGAAAATATATGTAGAGCTGAAAATGTGAGACCTACAAGTGATATCTCAGCATACTTTTTTTTTTTTTTGCAATGTGAATATCTGTAGCTCAGGTGTAGGATGAGGGTGAAGGTTCGTTCTCCGAGCTTGTGGGTTGGTTTCCGAACATTTCGTTACCAGGCTAGGTAACAACGTCAGCGGAATTTAGGGGATGTCAGTGTCAGTATTCTTCTGTTTATAAGGGCTTTGGGTGTGAAGCCCTTATAAATAGAAGAACACCGACACAGAACACCTGAATATAACATCTGAAGCCCTTATAAACAGAAGAACACTGAGACTCACATCCCCTAAACTCCGCTGAAGATATTGCCTAGCTCAGTAACAAAACGTTCGGAAACCAACCCACAAGCTTGGAGAACGAACCTTCACCTCATACTTTTTTTTTTTTTTGCTTACATGTAAGAGTACAGACACTACATTGGACAGGGAGGACAAAAGTAACGATTGTTCTGTTCCATCTCAGAAATTTAAATACTTTAAATACTACCACAGGTGTTAGTATTCACGGAAGGAAGATAGTTTATGATTTATGACAGGTCTGGATAGGAAGGAGTATGTGGATGGCACAAAGTCATCATCCTTAATTTTGTGTGTGTGTGTGTGTGTGTGTGTGTGTGTTATTCCATCTACTATTCAGCTGTAAATCAATTGGGAGGAAATGTAGGGGACACATGACTCAAACTCCCACCTTCTTGTCCCTTCAAAACTATGGGAAGGACAGTCTTTAAATGCTGGTGCTGTTTCCCCAGTCCTCCCTCAGCTTGTTTTGAGGAGGAGGAGGAGGAGGAGGAGGAGGAGGAGGAGGAGGAGGAAGAGGAGGAGGAGGAATAATAGTAACAACAACAACAATAGGAGGAAGAGGAAGTTCAGTTCAAATACCTACCATATCATAGCAACACATCCATAAAAGAAGAGACAAATGAGAACTA